TGAACTGACTCCTGCCTTTAGGGCTCCATCTTCCCCCAGCCCCCCCATTTAATCCCCAAAAGGGGGGGACTGGCTGCTCTTCCTGGGAGGGGGTGTTGCGATGGGCTCTCTCTCCCTCCGTTTCTTTTCCAGCTCGGCCTTGCCAGCTCAGGGAATGACCAGCAATGCTCCTGCAGATGATCTCAATGACTGAGCTGGAGTGCAAGGGTTGAGGCGATTCCTCTGTTAATACTTAGCATTTCGAGAACATATTTTGCATATTTTTATTACAGCTGTCATCTAATTAAAAATAAACACTGTAATCCTAAAAAGGTAAGGCTATCCTAAACTGACTGATTTTGGGAATTCAGTGAATTCAATGGGATTACTTCTCAGTACACATATATGATCACATTGTTGAATCAATTATTTCATTAAATACAGGTTTGAAGGGGAAACAGCAACATACTTTGTTCTCAGGCAATGTCCCAGGAGACACCATCCTGGATAAGGGATTCCCTCTTGTAGCAGGAGAGCCTTGCAGCAGCTGGATGAGGCCAAAGGGGCTCATCTTGTTCAGCATCCTGTTTTCACAGATGCCCCATGGGAGGAAGCTCACTCGCAGGACCTGAGCACAACAGCCACCTTTTCTGTAGCACTAACCCCCCCACACACTTCAGCCCCCTAGATGGGAAGAATGCCATCTATGTGTTTTATAGGTAAGAAGGCTCTTTTAAAAATGTTCCACCCAATTAGTCAGAAGCACCTTTTCCTCAAGCAAAAGGCTTTTCTAATCGGTTCAGTGTTGCAGCCTTGCTATCATCTTTAGTTTTCACTTAAGTGTTCAAATGCATCATCCCAGTGATCCTTGCAGCAACCATGTAATGCAGGCCAGGAGGCTTCCCTAAGGGCACCCTGAGAAGGCTCAGTTTGAGCCACGGACTTCCTGGCTCAGGAAGACTTTTTTATACAAGCATTTCAGTTCTTGTGAGATTAAAACTTCTTTATTCAGACGACTTGCCTTTTAATACAGAATACAGAAAAGAAAGCAAAAGGGTGATTTGTTGCACAAATGAGAATCCTGGCCAGCTTTGGCTTCTAGTGCCAGCAGGAAATGTATCCGAGGAGCAACCAAGGGGTCCTCAAATGAAGGGATGGGGACCCTGTGGGCTTCCAGATGCCATTGGATCCCACCAGCTCCAGCCAGTGTGGGCGACAGCCAGGGATGATGGGAACTGCAGTCCAACAATCTATAGGCACCACATGCTTCCTTTCCCTGACCTAATAGGTAATACTGAGGTTGGTCAGTGGAGAACATGGAACCCCCCCACCCGACAACCCTTTCAAAGTTACCTGGTATATACTGTAAATGGCACAGCCTCTTCTATCCGTAAGTGTGGAGTTTTTGCCTCTCTCTCTCAATTAATGGATGGGATGTTTTGTTGACCAGTCACACAAGAAGCCTGTGCCCACCTTCTCTGACCATCTCCTTTGATGCGTCACCTCTGCCTGTGAAGCCCAAGTTGCGATTGGGGAAGGCGAGGGGTTAATATTGCTGAAGTGGAATGGGGGGTAGTTATTAGAGTGGATACCAAAGTTTCTCTTAGTGAAGTGGTTCGGAATATGCTCCATTCACAGACTCTCTCCATGTAGTATAAATGGAGTCCACGTTCCCCTGGAAATTCTTGACCAGCTCAGAAAAAGATTCTCCACTTGCTCAGTTGGCCTCCAGGCTTCTCTGTTGAAGTACACACAAAAGTCCTTTAACACGAGCAGCTCTTTATTTGCACTGAAGCCTTAACGGATTGCTAGGAAAGGGCACAAAACTGCACAATCCAGATGCAGAAGCTCTCTGAGGGAGGAAGTCCCTCACTTGCTCCTTCCTTATCCACTCTCCTTCATCACTAAGAACTCTGGGAGCAGGCAGCCTTCCCTTTGCCCTCTTCTCCCCATTTCAGTCAGTCCTCTTGATTGTGCTTTGCAAACATTTTAGGTGGTGATTATTCCCTGTGCAGAGCTAATTGCCCTCCTTACTTTTGTTCTTGGGTGTGCTCTGATGAGGGGCAAGACAGAGTTAGCCAGAAGTACATAGCCCCCTCAGCACACATGATGTGTCAATGGCAAAATCCAGGAGAGCTCTCAGAAACTGATTAACTTTCTTCCAACTGGTCACCTACAGCTTCTGAATTCTCTTGAGCTGAGGGGAGTGTTCCTAGAGCAGAATGTGAAAGGAAGGAGGCTGGGGAACAACCAGGAGGCCATGCAGAAAATGTTAACTCCAGTAGTGCAGGGAATTGGACAATGTCACTGGGATCCCTTGGGGAAAACTGCTCTCCCCCAACACACACAAAAACACACCCCAAGCTTGGTAGCTCTTCCAGGCACTGGGGACTCCCAGACATTCAATATAACCACAACTAAGGATTCAAACAGCCAACACAGGCAATGTAGCTTTCAAAAACAGCTGCTTCCATGCATATAGTTCTGAGATTGCCGCCTGTCTCTTTTAAATCCTGATCATTCAGTACAGGAAGGGGGTGAGGAGAGGAAGCAATCACAATTCCCTGTGCACTACATGCATCCAACTCTCTGCAAGCAGAGTCCTAGGATATTATATACAATCTAATTGCTTTCCATTTTATAAACATGCAATCTGCATTTTCACTCCATGAACAGCTGCTTTTGGTTAAAGTCCTTCAATATGTGTAGCTGGCTTGAGTAGTTTGTGTAAATGCAGCAGCAGTCTTCCTTGCCCCTCCATCCTACAAGAAGTGGTAATCTTGCACAGTGGGGGGGGGGGGGGACAACGACCAGAGGAAGACAGGCCTATTCTCACATCCTTCACCACCACCTACTGGTCATTGGACTCAAATACACACGACTCTCACACAGATAGAGGAAAGACCATCCAAGGAATGACTCTGGGAAGGTGACAGGAGCAAAGAGAGATGCCCCAAAAACCCATGTTCCCTTCCACACTTGAACTATTACTTACCTTGCATAGTTCAGCAGTAGGGTCCTGCCCTGACAACACCTCTAGAAAGACATTCACGTTGCCCACAATCCTGAGCTGCTTGGACCAATGACCAGACAGCTTCCTATGTCTGAGATAGCCGCTAACCCTTAGCCTGTTTGTTTGATAGATGGATGGCTTCATGCAATGAATTCTTAACTGGTTGTGAGGTGTTGGTTATCTAGCTCCGTCGGGAAAGCATGAGATGCTTACTCTCAGGGTCATAGGTTTGAGCCCCACACTGGGCAAAGGATTCCTGCATTGCAGGGGGTTGGACTAGTGGTTCCTTCCAAATCTACGATTCTATGGTTCTATAAACAGTGATTTGCTCCTGTGCCCAGATGGGCTTGTGTCATCCAGTAGTCTGGTGTCTTTGGAAAGCATGGAGTGTCATGTGAAACAAGGACACACTGAGGGATTAAATTATTGAAAGCTACAGAAGAATCATACACACACACACAAAATCAGTATTCTCTGTACAAAGGAAAATCCTGCCTCATTGTATGGCACCAGCATCCTTGTTTAATTGCTAGGGTCCCAGCAGAGCCCACTATTGTTGATGCCTGGCCGTCTGAGTCCCCTATAGAAAAACTGAGAGGCGTCTGGTGCTTTAAGAATACCAGGCCCAGTGGAACTGCATCATGAGGAAATTAAAGTGGGGCAGACCATGGCAAGTTCAGCTGCTCAATCCTGGCCATTCACGGTCACTGCTGCAGACTGAAGGCTACTCATTGTTACCTGGTAATCCTTTCGCTGGGCTGTGAGGGCACTTAGGGCCTCCTGAAAACTTGTGCCACCCTTGCCAACCCCTGAGCATGGTGGCAAGACTGCAGGCATCATTTTAATTCTAAAAATCTTCTGACACAGTCCTTTGCACAGCCAGGCATCTGCTGAGGTTCTGTTGGCTAGACCTGAAGCAAGAGGGCCCAGAGGCCCCCCAAAACCTGGAGCCAACGCAAAGTCCTCTGATGTATTGGTAATTAGGAAGAGGAAGGCGAGGATTAGCAACATATGGTCCTTACAGTCAAGGGATGTTAGCAGTGGAGTTCCACACAGCTGTAACACAACTGGTGTTATTTAATACAAAAATGATCTGGAGTTAGGCACGTCCCGAGAAGCGGCCAAGGCTGTGGAGATTCAGCAGAATGCTGAGAGCCCAAAGACAGTGGGGTCCCTCAGCCCAAGCCATTCTCTATATACCAGGTGAATGGCCAATTCCATGTTAGGGATCATCAGGAAAATAAAAATGCTTTGACCCATGGTGTGGCCACCTTTGGAGTGCAGTGTTCAGCTCGTGTTGTCCCATCTCAGCTGCAGGAAATGATCAAGGAGTTGGGAGAATTGTTCTGATGGCGTCTGGGGCTTTTGGTTACAAAAAATGGGTTGTAAGCCAATGCTAGTTGTCCTCAATGTAGACCCATTGAAATTAATGGGCCTAAGTTGATCGTGCCCATTAAGTTTGTTTACACTGAGTAAATAACACAACCCCAAATCAACATCTAAGAAAGAGGGAGGATAGTGGAGGCTTGTATGATTCTGAATGTTGTACAGAAAGGTGATTTTTTTCCTTCACACGAGAACTTGAAATCCAGCCACTTAAATCAAGTATGAGAATAGCTAGGCAATTATCAGTTCTTGGTATCTGGGCATCTTACTGAAAAGGCCACTCGTGTGTCTGAAGCAACTTAGCATCTGATGACACCTTAAGTATTAACACATTTATTATAGCATAAGCTTTTATGGACACTAGCCTATGTCACCAAATGCATGAAGTGTTGCTGTGAGTTGCTGGTATATGTAAGTACACATAAGTTGTTTTTGGGATGCAGGTAGAATTATAAATACTAAGGTCAAAGGGAAATGAAATGCAGTGAGCAAGGGTTCTTAACCAAGGGTCCATTAATTTGGCACAAACATTTATTTTTCCAACGTGATAAAATCAGTTGTATGCAAATCTTTGTGTGTGTGTGCGTATGTCCTTTTCTGGGAAGAAGGTCCATAGACTTCATCAGATGGTGATCCCCAACCAACTGGCATGGACAGTGACAAACATGCTATTAACAGTGGCAGTTGGCAACAGAGCTGGCAATAACACAAATATATTGGCATTGGTAAGCCATTTAACACTTGTCCTTTGTCTTGGTTCAAGTCGCAGCTGACAGAATTTAGTATCTTTAGAATTTGTAGTTAATAGATTGCAGTAATTTGAAGTTCCTCTATTGCTTGACTCTTCTTTAGGGGTGGGGTGATGTCTGTTCTGGAGTGGATTTTTGTTGTTGTTGTTAAGCAGAAAGCAATACAGATGAATGATACCTGGAACACAAGATACTTTAGAAATAATCGTGGCCTAGCAAACCAAAGCCTGAAAAAACTAAGTAGGATACATAAAATAAAAATAATGCATTCCAAGTGCAGATGAGGACTCTAGAGAGAATGAACTCAATTATTCTAATGTGCCACAGGCTTCATGGAACATACTTCATGTAAATCTTCCACACTTATAGGAGATAAAATTAGAGTTTAATCAAGAGAATCAATAAATAAGAGTGTTAAATCACCTCCAGGCCCAGGAAGGAGACACTGCAGAGCACTTCCTACACTCTCACTTTGTGGGGACAATGAACATGATGGTGAAGGCTAACACTTAATGGGCAGATCATAAGAACTTCAAACTCATTGGCGCCCCAGGCCCACCTTTCAACTTTGTCACTTGGACATATTAAAAAGGACAAAGCTGCATTGCTCGAGACGGCAAGCATTGCTTTCCTCACCCTCGGCCCAGCAGGCAGCCAGGATGCCTTTGGGACGACTGGGCTGCTTGAGCTCAATCACCAGAGAGGCTGCAGATCCACTGGGATGCGCTGCCTGGCAAAGCGTTCTCTGGAACTGAGCACCAAAATGGCACCTTCATGGGTCCCTCATATGACAGGGAATCCGGCTCAAAATGGCACACAAGCCCTTTCCTGAAGGGACTCCATCAAAGGATGCACAACCAACTAAGATCAGGATGCCATTGTGGATCTGGTGCTCATCCCAAGGCAGCTTCTTCTATTATTTCATCACCACCATTATTAATTTATTTAGAGCATTTGTACCTATTATTCAGGCAAAAAGCTCCCAGAGCAGCTCACATACAATAAAGTCTTGCAGGCTTGCAATCTTTGCCTTCTTTGGTGCACAGTCTCTTTCCTGCTCCCTTCACCTGCTAAGTGGCCTCTGTCTCTTTTGATCCCAAATAAGAGGCAACGCAGACTGACTACTGAGCCACACTCACTACAATAGAGGATGAAAAGAATCAGAGAAGAAGGGAGAGGGGAACCAAATCTCAGAAAGAGGCCAAAAAATGTATTCATATATGATAAAGTGACATAACCCCCCAGCCCCGGCCATAAACACTAATGGATAGCAAAGTTAAGATGGCCAAATTTCACAATCACAGGAACATCTTCCCATAATTGAGCAGCTGCATACTCAGTTTTGCCTGTCCCAGGGCCTTGGTGGCATAATTGGGGTGGGGTGGGAGGGACTCTAACCTTGTGGATATTGCCTTCTTTGAGCATCAGATGAGGGCAATTCCTAAAGGACTATCGGCTGCTACTCTTTGGCTGATAAAATGGCCATTCTGTGAGGCTTCAGGCAAAGCGACCTTCCAGACTGAAGGCTCTGCCTGCTCCTCCCTCTGAACCAGTTCTACGCCCTCCACTGCTTCTAATTCTGCCCTTCTTCACCAGAGCCGAACACAACAGACAAGGAGTATTTTCTGAGCAAATTTATTTAAATTTTCTTAATACAGTTTAGAAACTGCAGAAGTAAACTAAGTTTTACATTCGCTACAAAGTTCCCCCTCTTCGTTTATTATGAACCGCCCCCCCCCCCCAACCAAACCCACACAACTGATGCATTGTGTAACTTGCTGTTTGGGGCAGGTATTGGGGCTCTCCTTTGTATTGGTGGGAGCAGACTCTTGCATGGGAAAAGCCAGCCCTTGGATTATTTTATGAGCAACAAGCCTAGAGGAGCAAGTCTCTTAAAAACAGTATTTATATATTTACAAAGCTAATCATCTGGTGGGGTGATGAAGAAGCACCATAGTCCTGGAAAGGTGAGGCTCCAGATGAAAATGCAGCAAGCTTCTATTGCACTTTAAGTGCCTCCCCCCGCACAAGCCAGTGGCATGCCTGCCTCATTCAAAAAGAGGGTGAGCTCATCAGACCTCCGCGCCTTTTGACCAAACAAACAAAAGTCCATTAGCTCTCAAACAGAAAGCCAAACCCAAACTCTAAGCTTGCTTGGGGTCCTGGAATATTTGCTGCTGAGCTACTAAGCACTGTGATAGTTATATCCAAGATACAATTCACCTTCCTCAACTGAAAACAGCTTTAAGAAATTTCTATGGAGTGCCAGCTTTATGTGATCATGCGCTTGGTGCAAAACTCCTGAACTTCTGCATAGCTTCCGAACGAAACTGTTGGAAAAGGCAACCTTTCCAGAAAGCAGCCGCTTTGGCTCTTTTTGGGCGCTTTGCTTTTATGGTAATTTATGCTTAAGGACAGAACTGACAAGGTTTCAGTAATGCCTTTACTCCTGATGCTTATGACTTATAAGCATTTTTTTATTTTGCCAATTATAATGAAGAAACACTTGATTTTCCAATGTAGAAAACTCCAATAAGACAGATCCTTTTGCAGCAGACAGATAAAAGTTGTGTTTGTATTTTTCACTCAATAGAGGGGGAAATGATCCTTACTGCCAATAAACAGTTCTGATTTGATTCCAAGATAGTGACAATCTAGAAATAAATAGCTATAAATACATTCAGAGTTCCTATTACAAAATCATGAAGGAAACACAAAATGGGGAATTAACTTCTGATCCAAACCTAAGCATAAAAGACAAGGCATGTCCTAGCAGGAAGAGACGCTCAAGACAGGCATAAAACAAGAGGGAAAGAATTGGTCCAGCACCAACAGTCTTGAAACATACCAATTAGCATAATTCAACAATCTCTTCCTCTCTTAAATGACACTAGGTGGCTTTATTTGCTTTGGGTATACATAATGAAAGCAGCTTCTGTCTTTTTTGGAAGAGATTCAGTACCTTGGAGAAACTGCAGCCGTCTCTCTGTACAAATGCACACCATATGTGTGTGTGAGCGTGTGCGTGTGCATGCATGATTGCACGTGCAAAAATCATGCACCCACATGCACACACACACAGTTGTATCAACACGCCATGTATGCGACTTGAGCACAGATCGGTCTTCATTCGTCATTGGCAGCACTTGTCCCTCTCACTTCGCCTTGGTTACGCAACTGTATGGGGGGAGAGGGGGGGAAAAGAGTCCGTCAGTCAGTGACCAGTTTTCACTGATAGACAGATAGACAGACAGACAGAGAGACAGACAGCCAAATGCTCTTGAACATTTCTCCAGGGAAGCCATCTTTACATCGTGCAGCTAAACCACCAAGATAAAGGAATGTTGTGAAGCTGATGTGAATGTCAATTTACAATTGAAGCAGCATTCAGCGATTTGCAGGGTGTCCCACTCAGAATAAGAGATCCTGATGTTGTGCATTTAGGTATAAAGGCCAAACTTTGGGGCTCAAGAGGCTGTAGTTCATTCAGTAGGAAGCTAACTTGAGAGAAACAGCCTAGAGTGTGACTGGCTCGGATACACCTTGCAAAATGAGGAAAGGCCTGCAGCCTGTTACTTCTTTTCCAGTTTAACCACCAAGTTTTTAGTGCCTCTCCTACTTCAGAGCAAAGTCCTGAGCGACCCAGATAGCTCTGTCTAGGGTATATCTAGGGTGTGGCAGGAAAGTATGAGGTTCTGCTACTGGGGTGAGGGTGGGGTTTGTTTGTTTTTTAACATTCTGATATAAAACCACAGCTGTCACGTTCACAAGAAAAGCCACTCACTGTTGGGGTGAAGCAAGGACCCAGAGTGTGTCGCTCTGAGGAGATGCCTTTGCCCTGGAGTGTGTCGCCATGTTGGCTGACGAAATGCCCTCCCCTGACAGGCACACCAGATCCCCAAGTGAAAATGCGCCTCCTTACCAAGGCTTTTTAGGTTTTTAGCTTCTTCTTTTCTGCAACTGTTTTCATCACCTTTTGTTTACTGGCATCTTAAAGAATTATTTTTTTGTTTTACTGATCAGTTCTTTATCATTTATATTATGCTGTACCTCATCATCATGAAAGGTGGGCTATAACTCTTTTAAGTAAAGTAAATAACAAATGAAATGCCTGCATTGAGGTGCCAGCGCCTGAGCTGGGAAAGGTGGAAAAGGAGGCTAGAGGAGCACTGTGGCATCATTTGAGTGATACAGTAACTCCCCTTGGCAGGAAATGTCCTTTGGCAGGAGAGGCCTGAGATCCTCAGCACCCAAATCACTTACACAGCTTCATTTGGCCTCTGACCCTACAGAAGATTCCTCTAGACATCGGCAGCCAACGTACCTCGGACGGAACCCTTCTTACGCATCTAGATGCAAAATAAAACTGTCAGCCACTAGGCAGTTAACAGAGGAGGATTTAGTTGGAAAGGATTACACTGGTCAGAGAAAAGCCTCTGGTAGCCAGTATAAAATAGCCTTGTGCCCTGAAGCAAGTGAGAGGAAGGAAGAGCGCTCCATTTGCAACCAACAGCACACAGTTCAAGCAAACGGCAAACTCCGAGTTGCCCAGGGGAGGAGAAATGGAAAAAGAAGAGGAGGAACTACCACCAAGCAAATATATATTAAAAGGTTAAGAAATGGATCCCCAAATGTATGTTAGGGTTAAAAGTGGTCCCTGCGTCTAAAACCGTTGAAAACACCTGTCCTGCAACATCTCTCCCCTGCTGGGGCCTCCTATGAAGGGCAAACAACCACCAGATGCAAGATGTTAGTCACAACGGACAGAAAGAAGGTGGGATGCAGGAGGTGAGATGAATCAGAGAAGGAGCACACACAAGATGTCAAGAAGAAACAGAAAAGCTGGCTGAAGAAGAGATGAGCCAAGGCAGCCAGAGACCTTCAAGGAAGGAGAAAGGCCAAAAGAGCTCAAGGCAAGAAACCGGGTCCTGAGGGGGCAAGAGGTCCGTAAAGCCCATTCCCCCTCCCTCCAGGCTAGGCAGTCTTGGCACCCCTCAGCACCCCCGTGCCTCTGATCACATGAGGAAGCATCTGTGCAACTGGGCTGCCCAGAGACACAGAGATGCTTGTGAAGAGGGCAGCAGCTTCAAGGAGCACCGCAGCAAGGGCTGGATGGGCTGCTGGAGGTCCCAGTGCAGAGCCCAAGAGCAACCTGCATTTACCTCCATGGAGGGAGCCCCACAAAGCAACACGCAAGAGGAGACAGGCAGCAACAACATGACAGGGAAGGACAGAAAGGAAACACAGGACAGTCTCCATCATGTACATGTACTGTAAAATCCTTGTTCGCTGGAGGATTGAATAAATGAGCAGCAGAAGAAGAATGTGGCAGACACCAGGGGGCTCTCTTGGGGATCTTCCTTCCTGCTCTGACTCTTTCCTCAGGTTTCTCAGCCACTCTGCTCTATGGGGAGATGTCCCTTGTAGTGTTAGTAGCATTAGCAGTAATTCAGAAGCGTACAGAACAAGCACACATATCCAGCAAAAAGCCAAGGCAAGTTTTAATAGCCAAACTTCATACAGGGGAAAGGAAAGCCCTGCAGACTGGCCAGGATGTCCTGGTCAAAGAGGCAGCTAGCCCATCAATCTGTGGTTTGCCCTTTTAAAAAGGGGGGCTGGCTCAAGTGAGCAGCTCTGTTTGCCACTCTTGTCTTTTTTGCTTCAAGAGTGAGCCTCCAGAGGGCTGAGCAGTCTCTCCCACCACAGTAATGCTCCAACAAAGTGCAGTCCTGCATTTCCCAGAAGGCCTGAATGCAGCAGAACATGGCAGCTGTGCCAAGTCAGAAACCTCTGCAAGAGCACTCTTACCGCTTCCAGCTCTCTCTGCGTTTCATCCTCCATCCGCCGGATGTCCTCCATCGTGAGGTCAATCCACCTGTCAATCCAGCAGAAGAGCTGGCGATGGAAGTTGGTAAATATCCTTTTTTCTTGCTTTAGAGAGAAAAAAAAGCAGGCTGAGGCCACAGTCCCTCAGGTTCACTAAGCAACTGCTGTTCTATTTCTCCTGCAGCCTTCATAGCTGCCTCTCTCACAGGACTAAGGGAACAGTCCAGAAGCAGATCTACCCCCAAGAAGGCAATTCTTCCAAAGTCAAACCAGGCAATTCAAATCAACACACGAGAAGCTTGTCTCCTCCAAGCTCTGACAAACATTCCCAGCTTCTCACCTTCTGAATAAAGTTCTCTATTTTGTTCTGCAGTCCCCACCACTTAAACTTGATTGTCACCAGCTTGTAAGCACACATTTTCGGACAGTCTCCATCAGCAGACAACTCCTTCTGTTTGCAGAGAAGCAAAAGAAGAAGGTGAGTGGGGCGTTTCTGTTTGACAGGCATCAGGCAGACTCTGGTAACTGAATTGAAGTGTCTTACCTTGAAGTCATCCCTACTAAAAAATCAAGCCACAATTTCTATGGAACAGGACTTCCTCTCCAAGGCTGCTTTGGGCCCTCACTGTCAGTGCTTTTCGATGGCTGATTAAGATGCACCCAGGAGGCCTCTGGCCCAGTGGGCAGTCTTCCTTCCAACATGGCTGTGCAATGCAGTTCTAGCTGGTGCACATTTTCACACACAGGCCAGTCACCCTCCTCAGAGAAAAGGGCTGATAGGGAGGCTGGGGGAGGCTGGGCAATATCCTACCACACAGCAAGAAATGCTGGTGCCCCGGAAGAGGCGAGGGCAGCAAAGAGCCAGAATAAATGAACCGATATTTTATCAATGCTACATTCAGCTCAAGAGCAGGTGTGCCATTTCATATCAAAAGAAGGCTCAAAAGAGATTTAATATTCACAGGATCCCTGTTCTCATAGGAACACAGGAAGCTGCCTTGTGCCAAGTCAGACCCTTCTAGCTCAGTATTGCCTCCACGGAACGGCAGCCATGGTTCTCCAGGGTTTCCGAGGAGGGAGTCTCTCCCCCGCCCGCCTTGAGATGCCCCTGGGCATCAAACTTCAGACATTCCACATGCAAAGAAGATTCAAGGTTTAAATAGTTTAAAGGCAACCAGCATGTTTACCTGCTGTGGTTGCAGATTAATAGGAAGCAGTTAGGATTAATTAGGATGCTGAATGCTTCAAAAATCGCGGCAGCTAAAAAAGCCAATGCAATTCTGGGCCTCATCAATAGGAGTATAGCATCTAGATCAAGGGAAGTAATAGTGCCACTGTATTCTGCTCTGGTCAGACCTCACCTGGAGTACTGTGTCCAGTTCTGGGCACCACAGTTCAAGAAGGACACTGACAAACTGGAACGTGTCCAGAGGAGGGCAACCAAAATGGTCAAAGGCCTGGAAATGATGCCTTATGAGGAATGGCTAAGGGAGCTGGGCATGTTTAGCCTGGAGAAGAGGAGGTTAAGGGGTGATATGATAGCTATGTTCAAATATATAAAAGGATGTCACATAGAGGAGGGAGAAAGGTTGTTTTCTGCTGCTCCAGAGAAGCGGACACGGAGCAATGGATCCAAACTACAAGAAAGAAGATTCCACCTAAACATTAGGAAGAACTTCCTGACAGTAATGGCTGTTCGACAGTGGAATTTGCTGCCAAGGAGTGTGGTGGAGTCTCCTTCTTTGGAGGTCTTTAAGCAGAGGCTTGACAACCATATGTCAGGAGTGCTCTGATGGTGTTTCCTGCTTTGCAGGGGGTTGGACTCGACGGCCCTTGTGGTCTCTTCCAACTCTATGATTCTATGATTCTATGACTATGATAGAAAACTAACATGCCAGTTTTGCCTTGACTCTCACCCATTCACACGAGAAGGGAGCTTTAAGAGATCTATGCCTACAACGCCCCAATTCAGGCCTCAAGCCACAGCCAGGAGAAAAATCCCTCCCTCCCTCCCTCCCTCGCCCAGACACAGACCACAGGCAAACATGCCTCTCACTCAAGGGCAAATGCTTCACCTGTACACCTGTGCCTCACTCTCACAGTCCACCTATTCAGACATGCCTCCCCCCACTCCCCCCCCAAACTACCCAGACACTTGCTCTTGTCCTTCTCTCACAAACATACCAAACAGATGCACACCTCTCCCTCTCTCACACTCGTGGCCAAAGGGGGTGACTCAGAGGGAGGGGCACAAAGCAAAACCCTGAAAAGGTACAGCAGGCTAGATTCTCAACCCCCCAAAACAGTAATAGTCTATATGTTTTATTTCGTATATCTGGTTCTAAAAAAGGCTAGAGACTTTTTTAAAACAAAAGCTGGGAATTTACGAATTATGGTTCATCCTGGGGGCACCAAAGGACCACAGCGCTTGTGGGTGCTGGGTTGGCAATCCCTGCTCAAGAGCTATTCCGCGTCGACTTTTTCTGTTGATTAGGACAGAAAAGTCAAATAGTATTACCTTCCAGTTAGGTCCCAAAGGGCCTCTCTTGGTCTTGACTGACTGGAACAAGGCTGGGTCCTCATCAGCTTTGTAGTCCTGTGAAATCAAAAGCCCAATGAGGAATTAGGATGGGGTTTTTTTTGGGGGGGGCACTCAGGCAGCATTTTTCATTGCCAAAAAACAATCAAGTAGGAGCCACAGAAGCTGTAGAATAAAGGAGAGTATAGCTGTGTTCTGTTCATTTAGTACAGGGGTGGGCAACCTAAGGTCCAGGGGCCAGATGTGGCCCAACTGCCTTCTAAATCCGGCCCGCAGACGGGTCCGGGGAATCAGGGTGTTTTTACATGAGTAGAATGTGTCCTTTTACTTAAAATGCATCTCTGGGTTATTTGTGGGGCATAGGAATTCATTCTCCCCCCCAAAAAAAATAGTCCGGCCCCCCACAAGGTCTGAGGGACAGCGGATCGGCCCCTTGCTGAAAAAGTTTGCTGACCCCTGGACAACATCATGAAGATGATTTCAAAACTGAGCCCACTTGGTTGGGGCGTAGGGTTAAGCATGCAACCCCCACATCTAATTGGCCACTTTACCAGCCAAGGTGTGAAATCTCGTTAGAACATTAGCACCGCCTTGCCTAACAATAAAAAAATACAGCTGGGGAAATTGTGATGAACTTGCAAGGGGAAGAAAAGAAGAAAGCCTCACACACTGCTGGGAATCAACACCTTCCTGGTATAACTGTGATGCCACCCCAGAATGGGCCAATTCCAGAGGCCCGCTTTAGCTACATTTCAGTCCACAGCTGAAAAAGGTTGCTGACCCCTGATTTAGCAGCAGCTAATTCCCCTAAAAAGGGGAATTTAACACAATACTGGCCACTTTTCCAGAAGACTCGCCCTTAAGCTGACTTCCCAATGCGTCTTCCATCAATATCTCTACACACAGGTGTTCTTTATTTATTTAGGAAGCCTCATTAAGGAATCCTAAGTCCATTTAAAAGTTTGGACTTCACTTGATGCCTGAAGGATAGCAAGGATAGCAGCAAGTGAACACATTCCAAAAAAAGTCTTGTCCCCCCCACCCCCGACACTGAAATCACAGATGGTCACATCTATTGTTGAGGGAGAGAATTTTGGACTTGTTTATGCCAGTGGGTGAGCAGGCTTTAAAAATCCGTGTCCAGACATATGACCAACAGAATGGAAGACTGTCCAGCCTCTGGGACCCCCCCACCCTGCCCCCATCAGGATGATGAACAGGTATGCAAGAATCAATCCCATGGATACCAGAGAAAGCAAAATGCTCCATTAGCAGTTTTGGAAGATGGGAGTTCTGCTGCCCTCCCTCGGCATTTGCTCCCAGCTCTAGGTGCACACGCCAGGCTCTGGCCAGGTGCAAGTTGGGACCTTGGCCTTAAGTCAGTTGAAGCCAAGGGATTCCTGTGCAATTGTCACAATCACTCTTGGTATGTATTTTTTCCTTCTGCGTCCAACAACTACAGCACAGAGCAAACATCACATCAGCTCTAATTCTGAGTTACAGAGAAGCAACTGACCAGCAGAGCCAACTCGGAGGCTATTGGGGAATGGGAGAGAGACGTGGCTGAGCAGTTGCCTTCTCCTTGCCACCAACTACAGACTCTTCATCTCATTATCAAACCAGTACAGCCCAGGCAAATCTTCAATGGCTGGTTGTTTCATATTCCTCCTCCTTTGCCCGGCAACGAGAGCACCATCTTGTGGGCAGGCCTCCCTCCTGGGCAGCAGAGCAGCACTTAAGCCACTTCCAATGGCCCCTAGGAGTTGGCACCTATGCCTGGAGATAACAGAGTAAACGATGCCAGGAGGGAGCTGCAGCCCAAGATAGGAAAAGAGGTGCTAAGGAAACACTAGGCTTCTTTAAATGAACTCAAATCTCCGGGGCCTGATGAGGTGCACCCACAGGTACTAAAAGAGCTTGCAGATGTAATCTCAGAGCTTCTGTCTATAATTATTTAGAATTCTTGGAGAACAGGTGAGGTCCCTGTGGACTGGAAACGAGTAAATGTTGCCCCCATCTTCAAAAGGGGGTGGTGGTGGAGGAAGACACAGGTAAGTACCAACCAGTCAGCTTGATGCAGATACCAGAAAAGGTCCTAGAACCGATAATTCAACAGTTGATCTGTGAGCCCTGTGATTACTAAGACCCAACATGGGTTTCTCAAGAACAAATCATGCCAGGCGAATCTCATTTCTTCTTTTGATGAGGTAGAAGCTTGGTGGATCAGGGGAATGCTGAGGACCTAATGCATCTTGATTTTAGTAAAGCTTCTGACAAGTCCCCCATGATACCTCAGTTTGTATCTGGTTGGCTGACCAAACCTAAGGAGTGTTCACTAATGGTTCCTCATCATCCTGGAAAAAAGGGACAGGTGGGGTGACACAGGGTTCAATTCTGGGCCCTTTGTTGTTCAACAACTTGGAGAAAGGAATTCAGGGAACGCACATCAAATGTGCAGATGACACCAAGTTGGGAGGGTTAGCTAATGTCGCAGAAAGCAGAATCTGGATTTAATATGACTTTAACAGATTAAACTGGGAGAACTGGGCCCAAACTAACAAAATTAATTCCAATAGAAACAAATGTAAGGTTTTACACTGAGGCGGGAAGAACTATCTGCACAAATATAAGATGGGGGACACCTGGATTGTGGAAAGAATCTAGGGGTTTTGGTGGACCACAAGATTAACATGAGCCAACAGTGTGATGCAACAGTGGAAAAATCTAATGTCATTCTTTGGTGTATCAGCAGAAGTATAGTGTCCAAATGAAGAGAACTAATAGTTTGACTCTATTCTGCCTTAGTCAGACCACACCTGGAGGACTGTGTCCAGTTCTGGGCACCACAATTTAAAAAGCCGGAAGGTGTGCAGAGGAGGGTGACCAAGATGATCAAGGGTCTGGAAACCAAGTTTTATGAGGAACATTTGAGGGAATTGGGTATATTTAGCCTGGTAAAGAGGAAACTGAGGAAACATGATAGTCATCTTCAAATATGTCAAGGGCTGTCACATGGAAGAGGGAGCAAGCTTGTTTTCTCCTGCTCTAGAGGGGAGGACTCGAACCAATGCCTTCAAGGTACAAGAAAGGAGATTCTCACTAAACATCAGGAAAAACTTTCTGAAACTAAGATCTGTTTGACAGTGGAACGGACGTCCACAAGAGGTGGTGGACTCTCCTTCCTTGGAAGTTTTTAATCAGAGGTTGGAGGGTCGTCTGTCATGGATGCTTTAGTTGAGATTCCTGCATTGCAGGGGGTTGGACTAGATGACCCTTGGGGTCCCCTCCAACTCTACAATTCTGATTTGTATTGCAGCTATTTTGAAGGCCATTTTTGTGGCAAAAAAAGGCCTTTAACTGTTGTTGTCCCCTTCATGGATCACTGCCTTGCCGTGGCGAAGGGGCTTGAATAACTCAGAGAAGCTATGAGCTATGCCGTGCAGGGCCACCCAAGATGGACAGGTCATAGTGGAGAGTTTTGACCAAATGTGATCCACCTGGAGTAGGAACCGGCAAGCCACTCCAGTATCCCTGCCAAGAAAACTCCATGGACAAAGGCAACAGGCATATAAAAGTTATGACACTGGAAGATGAGCCCCTCAGGTCGGAAGGCGTCCAACATGCTACTGAGGAAGAGCGGAGGACAAGTAGATTCAGAGCTGATGAAGCGGCTGGGCCAAAGCCGAAAGGATGCTCAGTTGCGGATATGCCTGGAAGCGAAAGGAAAGTCCAATGCTGTAAAGAAAAATATTGCATAGAAACCTGGAATGTAAGAACCATGAACCTGGGTAAGTTGGATGTGGTCAAAAATGAGATGGCAAGAATAAATATTGACATCCTGGGCATCAGTGAACTAAAATGGATGGGAATGGGCGAATTCAGTTCGGATGACCATCATATCTACTACTGTGGGCAAGAAACCCGTAAAAGAAATGGAGTGGCCCTCATAGTCAACAAAAGAGTGGCAAAAGCTGTACTGGGATGCAATCTCAAAAATGATAGAATGATCTTGATATGAATCCAAGGCAGACCTTTTAACATCACAGTAATCCAAGTTTATGCACCAACCACTGGTGCTGAAGAAACTGAAATTGACCAATTCTATGAAGACTTACAACACCTTATAGAAATGACACCAAAGAAGGTCAGTCTGACATCAATACCAGGGAAGATTCTGGAGCAGATCATTAAGCAAACAGTCTGTGAGCACCTAGAAAGGAATGCTGTGATCACCAATAGTCAGCATGGATTTCTGAAAAATAAGTCATGTCAGACTAACCTGATCTCGTTTCTTGACAGAATTACAAGCCTGGTAGATGAAGGGAACACAGTGGATGTAGCCTACCTTGATTTCAGCAAGGCATTTGACAAGGTGCCCCATGATATTCTTGTAAAGAAGCTGGTAAAATGCGGTCTTGACTATGCTACCACTCAGTGGATTTGTAACTGGCTGACTGACCGAACCCAAAGGGTGCTCATCAATGGTTCCTCTTCATCCTGGAGAAGAGTGACTAGTGGGGTGCCACAGGGTTCTGTCTTGGGCCCGGTCTTATTCAACATCTTTATCAACGACTTGGATGATGGACTCAAGGGCATCCTGATCAAATTTGCAGATGACACCAAACTGGGAGGGGTGGCTAACACCCCAGAGGACAGGATCACACTTCAAAACGACCTTGACAGATTAGAGAACTGGGCCAAAACAAACAAGATGAATTTTAACAGGGAGAAATGTAAAGTCTTGCACTTGGGCAAAAAAATGAGAGGCACAAATACAAGATGGGTGACACCTGGCTTGAGAGCAGTACATGTGAAAAGGATCTAGGAGTCTTGGTTGACCACAAACTTGACATGAGCCAACAGTGTGACGCGGCAGCTAAAAAGGCCAATGCAATTCTGGGCTGCATCAATAGGAGTATAGCATCTAGATCAAGGGAAGTAATAGTGCCACTGTATTCTGCTCTGGTCAGACCTCACCTGGAGTACTGTGTCCAGTTCTGGGCACCACAGTTCAAGAAGGACAAACTGGAACGTGTCCAGAGGAGGGCAACCAAAATGGTCAAAGGCCTGGAAACGATGCCTTATGAGGAACGGCTAAGGGAGCTGGGCATGTTTAGCCTGGAGAAGAGGAGGTTAAGGGGTGATATGATAGCCATGTTCAAATATATAAAAGGATGTCACATAGAGGAGGGAGAAAGGTTGTTTTCTGCTGCTCCAGAGAAGCGGACACGGAGCAATGGATCCAAACTACAAGAAAGAAGATTCCACCTAAACATTAGGAAGAACTTCCTGACAGTAAGAGCTGTTCGACAGTGGAATTTGCTGCCAAGGAGTGTGGTGGAGTCTCCTTCTTTGGAGGTCTTTAAGCAGAGGCTTGACAACCATATGTCAGGAGTGCTCTGATGGTGTTTCCTGCTTGGCAGGGGGTTGGACTCGATGGCCCTTGTGGTCTCTTCCAACTCTATGATTCTATGATTCTATGAAAAGGAAATGCAAGAAAGCAAAGTGGCTGTCCAACAAGGCCTTACAAATAGTGGGGGAGAGAAGGCAAGCAAAGTGCAAGGGAGATAGTGAAAGATACAGGAAATTGAATGCAGATTTCCAAAGAATAGCAAGAAGAGACAAGAAGGCCTTCTTAAACGAGCAATGCAAAGAAATAGAGGAAAACAATAGAAAGGGAAAAACCAGAGATCTGTTCAAGAAAATTGGAAATATGAAAGGAACATTTCGTACAAAGATTACCATAATAAAAGACAAAAGTGGAAAGGACCTAACAGAAGCAGAAGACATCAAGAAGAGGTGGCAAGAATACACAGAGGAATTATACCAGAAAAAAATGGATGTCTCGTACACCCCAGGTAGTGTGGTTGCTGACCTTGAGCCAGACATCCTGGAGAGTGAAGTCAAATGGGCCTTAGAAAGCACTGCTAATAACAGGGCTAGTGGAAGTGATGATATTCCAGCTGAACTATTTAAAATTTTAAACGATGATGCTGTTAAGGTGCTACACTCAATATGCCAACAAGTTTGGAAAACTCAGCAGTGGCCAGAGGATTGGAGAAGAGCAGTCTACATCCCAATCCCAAAGAAGGGCACTGCCAAAGAATGCTCCAACTACCGCACAACTGCACTCATTTCACACGCTAGAAAGGTTACGCTTAAAATTCTACAAGGCAGGCTTAAGAAGTATGTGGACCGAGAACTCCCAGAAGTGCAAGCTGGATTTCAAAGGGGCAGAGGAACCAGAGACCAAATTGCAAACATACGCTGGAATATGGAGAAAGCTAGAGAGTTCCAGAAAGACATCTACTTCTGCTTCATTGACTATGCAAAAGTCTTTGACTGTGTCGACCACAGCAAACTATGGCAAGTTCTTAAAGAAATGGGAGTGCCTGATCACCTCATCTGTCTCCTGAGAAATCTCTATGTGGGACAAGAAGCTAGTTAGAACTGGATATGGAACAACTGATTGGTTCAAAATTGGGAAAGGAGTACGGCAAGGCTGTATATTGTCTCCCTGCTTATTTAACGTATATGCAGAATTCATCATGCGAAAGGCTGGGCTGGATGAATCCCAAGCTGGAATTAAGATTGCCGGAAGAAATATCAACAACCTCAGATATGCAGATGACACAACCTTGATGGCAGAAAGTGAGGAGGAATTAAAGAACCTTTTATTAAGGGTGAAAGAGGAGAGCACAAAATATGATTTGAAGCTCAACATCAAAAAAATGAAGATCATGGCCACTGGTCCCATCACCTCCTGGCAAATAGAAGGGAAAGAAATGGAGGTAGTGAGAGATTTTACTTTCTTGGGCTCCATGATCACGGCAGATGGTGACAGCAGTCACGAAATTAAAAGACGCCTGCTCCTTGAGAGAAAGGCGATGGCAAACTTAGACAGTTTGCCAACATCACCTTGCCAAAAAGGTCCATATAGTTAAAGCCATGGTTTTCCCAGTAGTGATGTATGGAAGTGAGAGCTGGACCATAAAGAAGGCTGATCGCCGAAGAATTGATGCTTTTGAATTATGGTGCTGGAGGAGACTCTTGAGAGTCCCATGGACTGCAAGAAGATCAAACCGATCCATTGTTAAGGAAATCAGCCCTGAGTGCTCACTGGAAGGACAGATTGTGAAGCTGAGGCTCCAATACTTTGGCCACCTCATGAGAGGAGAAGACTCCCTGGAAAAGACCCTGATGTTGGGAAAGATTGAGGGCACAAGGAGAAGGGGAGCAAGGAAGAAAGGGGAAACCCCACCCACAGGCAGCTTTGTGGGGGTGTTGGTGTGTAGGCAGGTGGGCAGAATGGGGACACTATCCCCTTTGTGGCGTGACAGGCAGGAACGTGAGTCAATCGGCTGCCCTTTGCTTCTGCTCCCTAGAAAGGGGAGTGGGCTTGACTTGCTGCAGTTTTACAGATCCTTTGGAAGGCTGTCACAGTTGGATTCACCTTTTCTCTAGGATGGTGATTCCCAACTGCTGGCAAAACATTTTTACAACCAAAAGCATACTGAGCAACTCTGGTGAGCCCCAGTGATATTTCAAGGTTATGGGAATGGCTTGTTCTCTCCAATATGTTTTCATTTAATGTGAAAAATCCTGCTCTCCATATTGTTAGAGAGACTGTCAGTTCACTCAGAAGCACTTTCCACAACAACCGCTGCATTATATATATATATATATATATATACATATATATATATATATATATGCTAATGAGCCCTTTCAAGAACAGCATTAAAAAGTGCTGGAACCAGAGTCAGCCGTGGCTTCATGTCAAACCACAGCAGGCGCCTCCAGCAAGATTGCAGCTCCTCACTTCTCTTAACCTAATTTCATGTATTAAAACTAAATTAGCAGGAATGTTAAAACAAGAGGAAGCACATTCAAAAGATTCACTCAATATGCAAGTCAGCGTGGAGGGAGGCAGATGGAGGATCCTGTCACAGCGTGTGTCTGCGTGGGGAAAACAGCAGGGGCAGCACGTGGAGGTGGAACAACAGCCAGGGCTCTTGACCGTCCTGCCAAGGGGGTTCCCATGAGCTGTAGAGACCACCAAGGAAGGAGCCCTGCAGGGATCAAGGTGATCCTTGCTAGCCCTTTAGCCAACTGCCCAGGAGGGAGTTCAGGAAAGGCAGGCAGTGGTTCGTGCTCTGGTGTCTGGGGGTGCTGCTGCTGCTGCTCCTTCTTCCTCTCCACAAGCCTGTTGCCAAGGGAAGGAAACTGTTGGAAGACGCTCCCCACTTTGTGCATTTCAACCCCCACACCCTGGAAGCTGCAGCAGTAGCTCATGGTTCACATGCAAGACGCAATGAGGCTGGCTTGCTGAATGAAGACCCAAAGGGGTGGTCCAGATAAATAGGCTAGCTAAGATGACAGTGCCCTGAGGGCAGAGCTTCCTTGGAGGTCCTCCTCCATCCAATCAGGATGGCAGCCCTAGGATGGCGAGGGAAGCCAAGACACTGACAGGGAGGTGATGCAAGTGACTGAACCATCATGGATGGGCCTGAACTTGTGGCCCAGGTCCCTTGCCAGACGGAAAGCCAAGGAGATGGTGCCAGGAAGCTGGCCTGGGCCTGGGCAGAAGAGGGGGCAAGCAAGAGAACCCCCAGCCCTGGGCACAGAGGAAAGGCAAGAAGCTGATTTCAATTTCTGGGTTTTCACTCTGCTCATTTTCTTCCAAATCACTTCCAAAAGCAGAGGCCTTTCTGTAGTTAATTGTGTGTCTCCTTCTGCTTACACTTTAAAAGATTCCTCCTCTCTTGGGAAGTGACTTTTGTATACAAATCACGTAAAACTGCTTAGACAAACCTCTGGAGATGATTAGAAGGGGCCAGCTTTCCATTTATACCTTAAGAAAGCAGCAGATGTCAAATGAACCATTTGTATACATTTGGAGAGGCAAAGAGCTGGCATCTGAGTTTCATTAGGACCTTCAAGAGCACACAGAGCTTGGGGCCAGCTGCTCATTGATTAGAGCCTTGGAACAAAAGGCACCGCCTTGCAAAGATGGTTTGGCCAAGGTTCACTCAAGTCGAAGGCCGAATGCTAAGCATAACATGAGCAGCACATGAGCAGCTGGAGAGCAAAAAAAATCCCTGTGCTCCCCTCACAGGGTTATCTGCCCACTTTTCAGCCAAGTCTGCAGCACCAAGAATAGCCAGGCTGCGGCCTGATTCCGAGAGCAAAGAGCACTTTCTACTACAAAAACACTCCGGGGCCGGGGATGGGGGGAAGCAACAGGAAGGGCCTTTACTGCTGAGAGATCCCCTTTCCAAACCAACATAGGAACTTGAAAGGCAAAATATGACAAGTGTTGCAAAACATTCCACGGACCGTGCTGAAACAAAAAGAACAAAAAAGTCGCTTCAAAGGTTAAGCCTGATGAAAAGAGGAGAGAGAAGCCCAGCAAAGAGAGGTCTGAGCAGTGGGGTGTGATGGCCCAATTCTGTGCAGGAACTGCAAGCCCTTCCAAGGTCAAACGCTTCCAGACCTTGAAGTAGAGCTAGGACAGCACAACTGGGATGCACGAGTCCTCCAACTACCAAGTAGGGACAAATTGCAGAGGGAAAATGGGGGCTGTCATCATTCCTCACTTTTGCGAGCGGTTCCTATAATTCATTTGGAGCGTTCAGAAAGGAGTTAACTGTGTTAAATGCAACACAGAGCGAGGAGGAGGAGTGGGGAGAGCTGTTCAGGATTACAGTACAGTCGAACCTTGGTTTTCAAAAAGAATGCATTCCTGAAGTCCGTTTGACTTCCAAAATGTTCGGAAACCAAAGTGCGGCTTCCGATTGGGTGCAGGAACGTCCTGCAGCCAATTGGAAGCCGCGCCGGACGTTCGGCTTCCAAGGCAAAGTTTGCAAACCGGAACACCTACTTCCAGGTTTGCGGTGTTTGAATTCCAAGTGGTTTGTGAACTAAGCTGTTCAAAAACCAAGGTACAACTGTACTACGTTGTTCTGCACATGGATCATTCACTCACTCTACAGCTGAAGCAGCTAACCTGCAGCCTGGATCCCATCGCCGAAGAGCTCTTGTGCACTCCCAACATTTCAACAATTAAATTTTTTTAAAAATCTGTTCTGCAGAGGTGTTCCCACCTTTGGTGCTGTGGGTGTCCCAGTAGCCCCCCCCAAAAAGACCTGGCTGCTTCTGCCTCCATTTACCTCGCCTTTAATGGCCTCTCTTCTTCGTCTGCTGTGGTGACATTGTCCTTGGCACTCAGAAAGGAACACTCCTTCCCCTTCCCTCAGCCCATATTACAATGGGCATGGGGGGGGGAGGGAAGAGGCACATTTGCAAGCTAAGAAGGCACCTGAATGCATTCCCCCCCCTCAACACAGTGCAAGGACATGGAGGGAAAATGCTGGAGAATCTCCACCCCCACCCCACTGCTGGTCTCTGTGAGGCCTGGGGGAGGAAGGGACAGAAACAAGGCTAGAGGTGCTTCTGCCCTTCAAATACAGCAGATGCCAGGCCAAGCAGGGCAGGTGGACTAGCACAAAAACAGCAAAAAGTTTCAATGAAGGCACTGATCCAGGAAAAAAAAGCCTTCCACAGGCCCATGTGATTAACCCCACCAGAAGTGCCTGCAGCACCCTGAGTTGTGTGACCACTTACTCCAGGCTCGACTTGGCTCCTGTCAGCAATGTCAATGTGGACAACTTCCACGTTCTTCCACGTATTTGGATCTAAGTCGTGCACCTGCAGGGAGGAGAGGAAATGGGGTCAACCTGGGCAGCGACTAAGAGTTTCCCCAATAATGCCCTCCTGGCTCAAAGGAGGAAGAGATCCTACAATGTGGCCTTGAGGGTAGAGTCAATGTGAATCCATTTCCCTCTGACTGGGGCCACTGTCAGGCTGCAGCTCACCCACCCAATATGGACCACCGGCTGCAAACACAACAAGGCAAAAGGAGGGCGTGAGACCATTTTGAGAGGAACATGCGTGTCTCATTTTAAAGGGAGTTAGTTTCACATTTAATGTAGCTTTCTTTCACCTGAGCATTTAAAAACATTTTAAAAATTAACTTTAGTATTTTAAACTGAATGAGCATTTATCTGCTGGGTTTTCTGCATGTATTTATTGTTGATGTGCTGTTTTAGAAATTTCTTAACTACCTTGAACTAACTGCTAAACGTCAGTATACATACATGTTTAAAATACAGTGGGGCCTCAGGTTACATACGCTTCAGGTTACAGACTCCGCTAACCCAGAAATAGTGCTTCAGGTTAAGAACTTTGCTTCAGGATGAGAACAGAAATCGTGCTCTGGTGGCGCGGCAGCAGCAGGAGGCCCCATTAGCTAAAGTGGTGCTTCAGGTTAAGAACAGTTTCAGGTTAAGTACGGACCTCTGGAACGAATTAAGTATTTAACCTGAGGTACCACTGTACCAGAGTTGGATGGAGCCAGAGGCTGAAGTACAGTCTGAGCACTCAGGGTAGGGGAGAAACATTTGCTTTGGTATGAACCCCCGTGCCCCCCACCCCTAGCGTTGCTTAGTGGCTGTCAAGCTCTGGAGTCTGCTGTCTGGCAAAGAAGCAGCAGCAGTAAAGGCCTTGCCCAAACAAGGTGGTGGCAAAATGTGGCTCTCCAACTTACATTGTTAGATGTTCCCAAATCTGATTTATGCCAAGTCTCAATTTTGATGAAGAAGTCGTCTTTCATATATTCATTCTATCAAAGATAAAAGATAAATAAGGCAGTAACTAATGTGGTTCATTTGTAAATCCTCTTCCAGTCTTTTGCAATATATCCATCTGGTCTTTAGAGAGACAATCAGGGATGGGGGGAGGCAAACCTGATTCCCACCCCCAACTCAAAGGCAAGTACATGTGTGGTGGAGGAAGAGAACTGTCAGGAAGCAGGAGAATGCTTGAAGCTTCCAACCAACCAGATTCTTTCCTGCAAATGTCCCCTCCCTATACCCCACAACAGCAGATTCAGAGGAGAGCACTGCCCAGAGCAGGTAGGGCAAAGCACCTTTCTCCACCCTCCCTAACCCTCCTGCGTAACAGGGCAGGCAAACATTTGTAGGCAGACCACCAATGGGGTGTTTTGTTTTGAGGTTGGCCTAATTAAATTCCCTGCTTTTTATTTTATTGTTTATCATTTTATATTATTGTTACTGTAAGCTGCCTAACTATTGGGCAATACCTACATAAAATAAACATGGAACTCCATCATGAATGACTCCCCCCGCCCCGAGCAGCAGTCTCTGCACCCTGCCTTACACACTTACCCTCCACTAAGCAACCCACATGAACTAGAGAAGACTCCCCTCCAGCCCATCCTTGTAGGATCCTGGCCACAGCTACCACATCCGTGTTGGGGAGGGGACACCGCAGCAATGCCCAAACAGGCAAGCTCCAGAACGTCACCCCACTTTATTATTTTAGCTGTATTGTGATGGCAAGTGGGGAAGTGTTACACACACCACAGACTAAAACTTTTGTCTGACCCACCACCCCCAGTTTAGCTCTCACAGAGCAGAATGTGGCATGTGTTGCTGATTGAAGGCTGTGAAGGAGGGAAACCATTTTCAGAGAAAGGTAAGAGTGCTGTTTTTTTTTTTAAAAAAATGAGGTGCCTGTACTCATACCTTGATAAAAACATTGTGGGCACCAGCACAAAATGGCTGTCATGGGGAGGGGTGGTAACTCTACTGTTGAGTACTATCATAGAAGCAGGACTGCACCTGAAAGATTGAACCCCTCATAGAGGGACCTCACACTGAGGACCCAGGTGCCTACATTCAACCAAGAAGAGCTAAAAAGCTTCGAAGGTGCCAACAGTTCAGCCTATTCACAAGCCAAGAGAAACATAGTACTCACCGTTACAACTGAAGCCCACCAAGACATGGAAAGAAAAAGAAAAGGGAGACAAACAGGTATGAATGTATCTCAACATTCTTATTTACAGAACTCAAGGGTGAAATTGCTGGTCTCACAACAAATATAAGTAACTTTTGCCTAAGAACAGCTTCTGTACCTGAGGGCTAGAAAGTACTAGGGGGGTTATTAGGTTGTCTTTGTTTTTATTATGTCTTTTTTGGTATTGCAATTTTATGTTGTGAACCACCCTGCGCTCTACGGGTATAGGGCAGTATACAACCTAAATAAATAAAACTTGATGTGATAGAGATCTAAAATAACGTCAACATCATAATGCAGTGGATACATTTTCACTTGGGGATAAGAATGGCTGCAGGTGCTGGGGGTTTTTTCCGATGGCTTGGAGCACTGAGTGGGACTGCGGCAGTCAGGGCAGCCACCTACAGGGCTCATGGTTTCCCTCAGAGTGACCAGGATGTCTACTTAAAAGAGCTCTATGAGACAGCCAACAAATATCACTTCCTCCACAGCCTGGTCTCCTGGCTGTGCCCCACAGCCGCTATCCCTTGATGGCTGGCAGCCTCCTATCCCTGGGCATGTTCTCCGGCGCCCTGTATTACTACACAGTGACAGGGGACCTGGTCCTGACCAAGGCAGCACCTTATGGTGGTTCCCTCCTCACCCTCAGCTGGATTGCCATGGCCCTTGACACCCCCAGTCCATCCCCACGTGCACCCTCTCTCCCATCGCTGGGGCAGCCACCCCTGCTGCTCATTCCCCCTCTTAGGCTTGCAAGAAGAGAACCCTGGGAGAGGAGAGATCTCCCAAACGTCAGAGAGGGATCCCTTGAGGTTGTTAGCCTGCTCTGAACGTGTCTCTATCCTGCATCTTGGAATTCCCTAAATGCTGAATCCTTTTTTAGAAGTCAAGATCCTTTTCAAAAATTGCAGCCAGATTTGAGTTTGTGATGGAGGAAGAGCTTAGGCCTCAATGAAATGTTGGTGCTTTTTAACTTAATAAATGAGAGTAATTTAACTTAAAAAACAACCACCACCACATCATAATGCTGTTATCCAAACGTATGGTGAACTTGGAATACTGTGTTCAATTCTGGTGGCTGCATTGTGAAAAGGCAGGTTGGCCACTCTAACAAACCATATTCAAGGTTACTTGTGAAATACTAAAATACAAACAGCATCAAAGCAGGCATCATGAAAAGATATGAGCTAAAAACAAATAAAACAAAGCACTGCAAACTGCAAAAAAGCCCCTCTGGACATCACAGCTTAAGAACCCCTTGTTTGATTGGTGCTTGGTGTGATCTCTCACAGACACATGTGGCTCCTGCTAAGGTCCAGGTCCAGGCTAAGGCACACACTGCATGAGCCACGGTCACAAGCAACCCGCGCCCCGCCTGAGAAAGCAGCTCTTTATAACTTCAGACAGGTCAGAACTGAGCCACAACTCCAATGAAAGCAATCCCAGTTGCAGACAACTCTGAAGAGTTTGAGATCGCCCATATCCTTGCAGTTCTATGAAGGGTTCAGGCCTTTGGTGCTTCCCCTTATGAGGACCTGGCATTAGTGACAAGCCCAGTCAAAATCCCTGGAAGTCAGAGGGTGGAGGTGGGGGACTGAAGTGGCAGATTATTTTCCTGCCTGGCCCGGCCCCACAGTGGTGTTTTGCTTGAATACCTTTGAAACCACATAGCCAAAGAATGGGGAAAGGAGACTCACTCGTCCTGCAGTAAGGATAGGCATTCCAGGCCTTTTCATGGAATACCAACGAACCTTCTGGAGCAAACATCCGCACAAACCCAGGAACTTTGCTGCAACAAACCAAAGTGGGATGTCAGATGTGAGCCTTGCCAAGTGAAGTATGGTCCAGGCACCTGCTCCAAGAGGCATCCCTTACACAAACACATTCTATGGCATGCACAGCCTCAGCAATGGCAAATACAGTTGTACTAAAGTCAGGGGCTCAGCTCTGCCTCTTTCCAAGAGTGTCGCATTGCCAACAAGGTCGGAGGGAGGGAGGTATGGTGGACAAGGAAAGGTCATCAAGTCTGAAGGAGGATGTCTCTCCAGCCCACCCCAGCTGCTGATATCTGTCGTGCCCTCAAGAGTGGAAGCTGAGGGGGGCACTCAGAAAGGGAAGCTCCTGTAGCCCCCAGGCTGCCTATCAGGGATTAAGGCTGAGTCACCCCACTCTTTCAGGCACACCTCTCTGCAAGCAGCCCCTTCTCTTACCTCTTCAGGTGGTAAATCTTGTGCGTATACTGTCCTTTTTCGCCATCCTTCTCATAAGGCTCGTTGGTTAAGACTTGGATCCCTTCACCACCACCAGTTTCATTTTTACTGGCTTCAGCCACAGAATAAAGTTGTCCAACTTGATACTAAGGGGGGGGGGGAGGAGAAAGGAATGTTAAGATTCTTTTTTTGTAAAGTGCCTCGTATCTTTCAGCAGCCCACCACACATAACTGTGATATTTATGGGATGGCTGGGAAAGCCCAGCATAAGGGAAACCCCACAAGAGTTCCCCTTGCTGTTGTCCCCACAATGCTCTGTTCTTTGGCCAATAAAACCCCATGCTCCAATACAGCCAGAGGTTCTCCTGGCACCCCACATACAGAACTACCATTCACCAAGAGATCTCTGCTAAGGCTCAAGAGAAAACTGTTTCCCAAGACGGCTTACACTCGTTCTTAAGAACATTTTACAACATGTCTAATTTTTAAAAAAGCAAAACAATTCCCAATAAAGATCAATGAACATGTTAGTTTAAAGCTTCAGCTAAAGGCAGGTTAAAATATCATGTTTAAAGCCCACTTAGAAGCAGTCAGGGAAGAAGTCAGAGACAGACCTCCTTCTGGGAGGGAGGGACATGCACAGATCTGTAGCCTCCACTGAAAAGGACTCTGTCTTTTGTATCCACCAATGGTAACCGTAGCAGAGCCCCTGTGATGGTGCTTGGCACCTGGGCAGGTGAGCCTTAAGCACTCTGGCCCCAAGGCATTCAGGGAGGAATGGGGGCCCAAGGGTGGCACTGACAGCCAGTCATTTTTTAAAGGGCCACACCCCAGTGGCAGACACAGCCAAAATAAATCCATACACACACACAAATATATAAACTCACCAGTCATGCAGGAGCAAAGCACCCACTCCCAACCCCACCGAGCACTTCTAGCCCACCCCAATCCAGCACTTGGGTATGTCTGGAAACACTGCCTTTTGTTTTGTAAATCATTCTGTGCAAATTAAAAAGAAGCCTTTCTCCACACACCCACTTAAGAGATGAGGTGGCTAGCAATACTGCATTTCACTATTAACAAGCAGACAGAGGACTATTTCTACTCTGAGTATAAAGCTGGCATTTGCCAGCCACTTCCTATGATATGGTTGGCTAAATCTGGCCCACAGGCTGCAGGACTGGCACTCCTGGCTTGCAGCTTTAAGGGTCAATTTATCACAGAAGAAAGCAGGTAGCCAAAGTATCTGACACAGAACCAGTTTCATGTCCTCTGAACACAAACATCCAGGCAGCTGAACCATCTTCAAAGGCAGATAAATGTTTGCCTGCCGAACTGCCTTGCCCATCCAAGCACAGGGCCAGGGGGAACCCCAGCCCCTTTTCACACCCTCATCTTCCTGGGCTGAAGGGGAGTCGAGAGCTGGCTGGAAACTCATATCTTCACCAGTAACCAGAGTCACATAATCCCAAATAACAAGGAAGCAGCTGCCAGGCCCTTGTGAGCAGCAAAGGATTGGTGACACTTCTCTGGGCGGTGACAGCCGATCCATTTTCGGAAGGATGGGGCAACCGTTGCCAGGAAAAGCAGCAGGCAGCTTCTAACTTGATTCAATCCAAATAAAAATTTGATCACCAGGGGAACGGGGCAGGGAGACACGTACCTCTTGGACAGAGCAGGGCAGGACCACACGGCTGAAAGACAAAAGAGAAGAGGCCATGCATGTAAGACAACTTCGAAAGAGGGCTGGCAAGAGGAAGAGCCCACAACAGTACAAGGCTGGCTAAGGATTTATGTTTGCAGATAAAACAGTTTCTTGGTGCAAGGGGTGGAACAGTTTCACTCAACTACAAGAAAGCTCAAATCCTGCCCTGAAAACAAACAAGAATTGGCTAATAAGCTTTGCAGTGTTTTTTGTTCTAGAAAAGGGCTATCCAACTTTTCATACCAAGTGGGCTGCAAGAGGACTTGGACACAGAACCTGTGGGCCATATACTGAATTAAATTTTCATACTGTAAATTAAAGTGTTCAATATATTTAATATATACTATTAATATAGTTAATTAAAGGTAAAGGGACCCATGACTGTTAGGTCCAGTCGCGGACTCTGGGGTTGCGGCGCTCATCTCGCTTTACTGGCCGAGGGAGCCGGCATTTGTCCACAGACAGCTTCTGGGTCATGTGGCCAGCAATGACTAAGCCGCTTCTGGCGAACCAGAGCAGCACATGGAAACACCGTTTACCTTCCTGCCGGAGCAGCACCTATTTATCTACTTGCACTGTGTGCTTTCAAACTGCTAGATCGGCAGGGACCGAGCAACGGGGGTTCACCCCGTCATGGGGATTCGAACCGTCAACCTTCTGATTGGCAAGTCCTAGGCTCTGTGGTTTAACCCACAGTGCCACCCACGTCCCAATATAGTTAATTATATATACAGATATATACATATAAGTAAATATGCAATTTTATGGGGGTGCTGCTTTTCTCACATGTCCGAGAAAGAGATAAGCAGCAGGGTTGTGGGGAAAGACTCCCCTGGCTCCTTTTCCTTTCAGCCCTTTTCAGCTTAATCTGCCACTTCAGTCCCCCCACCCTCTGACTTCCAGGGATTTTGACTGGGCTTGTCACTAATGCCAGGTCCTCATAAGGGGAAGCACCAAAGGCACACACCCCTTCAGAGAACTGCAAGGATATGGGCGATCTTCTTTCCTGGGTTTTTCTCCCTTCCCCTCCACCAGAGGCAACACTGGATCTGATTGCCTGGGCACCAGGTTATTTTTTCTGCAGCTATTTAGTGGCACTTTAATGGTGGGCTTGTGAAAATGTGCCACTAAATATCTGGAGGTAGGAGTGGAAACACTATAAACCATGCCCACTCAACTGATCCAGTTTAGGATACCTAGAGATGGGAAGGCCTGGGGGGAAACCGGAAAATATGGGAGGGGAAACCAGTTTCCCCCCGTTTTTCTCCCAAAGCCGTTTTTTTCTTTTTAAATTTTTATTTGCTTTTTTGTTGACACACTGAGGAAAAAAAGGAAGAAAACTAAAAATACAAATGAAAATAATAACGAACACAAAATTATTTACAAAACAATAAAGCAAGATTTGGCCTTTGAACTATAGACCCGACCTCCCGTCTATTCCTTACTTCAATTATATATTACTTGTTACCAATACACACTTTTATCATAATTTAACTAATCCTTAGTTTGTCTAAGATCTCATGTCTTTCTTAAAGCAACAGAGTTTAAACTGCTGTAATTATTTTTCAAATATACTTTAAAGACCACCTCCCATTTTGAGACAAATTCCTGTTTTGGTTTATTCTTTATTTTTCTGATAGACTATCTAACTCTGCATATTCTGTCAATTTTTGAGTCCATTCATGAATAGAGGGGATTTTATCACTCTTCCATTTTGCAGCAATAAGAACTCTTGCTGCAACCATAGCATATAAAAAAACACCCTTCATTTTTGGGAGGATATCCAAATCTGTAACTCCCAGAAGATAGGGTTCTGGTTTTCTGTTAAAGGAGATCTTTAGCATTTTTTGTAATTCTGAATGGATGCTCTCCCAAAATACCGGGATTTTCTTACATAGCCGCCACATGGGATGGAGAGTACCTGATTTATCTCCGCATCTCCAACAATTGCTTGGGACACCTTTATTTTTTTTTTAAATGATATTTATTAAAGTTTCAAAGAAAAAAATACATATATAAAAAGAAAAAAAAAGAAAGCAAAATAAAAAGAAATAAAAAACAAAAAACAAAACAAAATAGAAAACACTTAAAAAAACAAAAACACATCGTTCTTTCCATAACTTACATTTCATTTCCTTACTTCCCTGACTTCCTCACACCTCCCTTTTTTGTATTCCAGTTATATTAGTTAATTCAGCAATTCCTTTCCCTCTTTGTTTTTGTCATAATCCTTTAACTTAACGTATTATAACTTTAGATTCTCATCTGTTAACAATCCGTTTGTACATACACCTTTATGACATTGCTGCTAAGACCACTTAATTTCATTCTGACATCATTCTAACATTCATTAATTTTGCAATATTTCTGTAAATAGTCTTTAAATTTCTTCCAGTCTTCTTCCACCAACTCTTCTCCCTGGTCTCGGATTCTGCCAGTCATTTCCGCCAGTTCCATATAGTCCATCACCTTCATCTGCCATTCTTCCAGAGTGGGTAAATCTTGTGTCTTCCAATACTTTGCAATAAGTATTCTTGCTGCTGTTGTGGCATACATAAAGAAAGTTCTGTCCTTCTTTGGCACCAATTGGCTGACCATGCCCAGGAGAAAGGCCTCTGGTTTCTTCAGGAAGGTATATTTATATACCTTTTTCATTTCATTACAGATCATCTCCCAGAAAGCCTTGGGCATGTCCACCAAAGGTGAAAGAATGTACCTTCAGTCTCTTTACATTTCCAACATTTATTATCGGGCAAGTGATAGATTTTTGCAAGCTTGACTGGTGTCATGTACCACCTGTATATCATTTTCATAATATTCTCTCTTAAGGCATTACATGCCGTAAACTTCATACCTGTGGTCCATAACTGTTCCCAGTCAGCCATCATTATGTTATGTCCAACATCTTGTGCCCACTTAATCATAGCAGATTTCACCGTTTCATCCTGAGTATTCCATTTCAACAGCAAGTTATACATCTTTGACAAAGTCTTAGTTTTGGGTTCTAACAGTTCTGTTTCTAATTTTGATTTTTCCACCTGGAAACCTATTTTCTTATCCAAACTGTATGCCTCCATTATCTGATAATAATGAAGCCAATCTCGCACTTTGTTTTTTAGTTTCTCAAAGCTCTGCAATTTCAGTCTATCTCCCTCTTGTTCCAGAATTTCCCAATATTTCGGCCATTTGACCTCCATATTGAGCTTTTTCAGAGCTTTCGCTTCCATCGGTGACAGCCACCTTGGGGTTTTATTTTCCAGTAGGTCTTTATATCTTATCCAGACATTAAACAATGCTTTCCTGACAATATGATTTTTAAATGCTCTATGTGCTTTGATCTTATCATACCACAAATATGCATGCCATCCAAATACATTATTAAAACCTTCTAAGTCCAAAATGTCTGTGTTTTCAAGAAGCAGCCATTCTTTCAGCCAGCAGAAAGCTGCTGATTCATAATAAAGTTTAAGGTCTGGCAGGGCAAATCCACCTCTTTCCTTTGCATCCGTTAATATTTTAAATTTTATTCTAGGCTTCTTGCCCTGCCAGACAAATCTAGAGATATCTCTCTGCCACCTCTTGAAGCAATCCATTTTGTCCAAAATTTGCAATGTTTGAAAGAGAAATAACATTCTAGGCAATACATTCATTTTTATCGCAGCAATACGGCCTAGCAGTGAAAGCTTCAAATTTGACCAAATTTCTAAGTCTTTTTTCACTTCAGGCCAGCATTTTTCATAATTGTCTTTAAATAGATTCCCATTTTTTTGCTGTCATGTTAATCCCCAGGTATTTCACTTTCTTAACCACTGTTAAACCTGTCTCATTCTGAAACCTCTCTTTCTCAATCACAGTTAAGTTTTTCTCTAAGACCTTTGTTTTTAACTTATTCAATTTAAATCCTGCAACCTGACCAAATTCTTGAATCAGTTCCAAAACCCTTTTAGTACTAGATTCTGGCTCCTGCAATGTCAATACTAAGTCATCTGCAAATGCTCTCAATTTGTACTGTTTAGCTCCGACTTGTATACCTTTAACCAATTGGTCCCTTCTAATCATATTCAGCAGGACCTCCAGGACCGATATAAATAGCAATGGGGAGATTGGGCAACCTTGTCGTGTCCCTTTTTTCTATCTTAAATTCCTCCGTCACCACGTTATTTACAATTAATTTAGCCTTTTGTTCTGAATAAATTGCACTTATACCGTTTTCAAAGCCTTGGCCTACCCCCATCCCCTGTAGGTTCTTCTTCATGAAACTCCAAGAAATATTGTCAAAGGCTTTCTCCGCGTCCACAAATATCAAAACTGCCTTGGTATTTATATTCACTTGTAGTTTTTCTAAAATATTGATTATGTTTCTCACGTTGTCAGACAAATGTCTACCCGGGAGAAAGCCTGCTTGATCTTTATGTATCTCTTCCATTAGGACTCTTTTTAGTCTTTTAGCCAAAATGTCTGCAAAGATTTTGTAATCCACATTGAGCAGTGATATGGGGCGGTAGTTCTTAAGCTGGGTCTTTTCAGTCTCTATTTTCGGTACAAGTGTAATATACGCTTCTTTCCACGACTCTGGTGCCCTTTTCCCACCCATTAGCTTGGGACACCTTTATACATCTTCGAGAGTTTTCAGGGTGTTAAGTATCATCGGTGATGCATTTTTAAGAAATTCTCTCTTAAGGAATAACAATTTGTAAATTTCCAATTGTTTTCCCATTGGGACATAGTTACTGAGTGCCCAAAGTCTTGTAATCACTTAACCATGGTCGTTGTAACCTCCCCCTCCTTGACTTCCCAGTCAAGGGGGAGTTGGTATACTTTTGAAAGGGGTTTTTTGTTTTAGAATTTACTAGCTCAGATTCGAGTCGAGAAGTTTCTAGTGCAAAACCCTTTTGTTTATCAGATTTGAATTTTTCATATACCTAATAGTATTGGAAGCAATCTGCAATGAACTCTCTTATTTCCTCAAAACTTTTTAGTTTTAGTTGGTTATCTGGTGTTTTGTATGTTGGCCAAATTTCCTGGGTATTTTTCCTTTTCACCGCAGAGGTTTCTATTGGGGAAGTCCACCACGGGACTTTGGGCTCCAACAGGTCTTTATATTTCTCCTAGACTGCAAAATTATTATATGATTTGTGAACTTATGGACTTTGGCTTTCCTGTATATCAGGTAAGCGTGCCGTCCCCATCGATTATTGAAGCCCTCCAAATCTAGGAGCTCTGGGTCCTGCAGCATGCACCAGTCTTTCAGCCATGTGAAGCAGGCTGCCTCATAGTATAATTTCAGATCGGGTGGGGAAAAGCCTCCTTTGTCCTTTATATCCATCTATTGGGGAAAAGGGGGGGGACTGGTTCCCCCTCATTTTTCCAGGTTTTTTCCAGGCCTTCTCATCTCTAAATACCACACCTGAACCTAGATTGAAATGGATCCCTGCCTACTGATATCAGGCAGGTGCCTTCACTGTACTCTTTTTCAGCACCTGCTAAAACATTTTTGTTTAGGCAAACCTATCCAGACATGTAGAATGTTGATGTGTGTTGAACTCAACACATTTGCAAAGGTGTCAGGCCTACAGGTAAATTTTGCAAAGTCTGAGGCTATGTGCTTCAACGCCGCTGCCCCATACCCAAAAAGAATTCACCAGCATTACCAACATAAAACTTTGCCGCACCAAGTTCAGATACCTAGGGGTAGAAATAACCAGAAAACTCAACAAATTATACCTCCACAACTACAACCCCTTGTGGTGACAAATCAACAAAGCCCTGAAGAGGTGGAACAACACCAGCTTCACTCTCTCACACAAAATAGCCATGATCAAAATTATCACCCTCCCAAAATTAACATACCTATTCCAAACCCTCCCAGTCTGGATTCCTCCAGCCCAACTTTGCAAATGGCAGAGAAAATTACACTCATTTATCTTCTCTCACAAAAAAACAAGAATAAGCCCCAAATACCTGCACCTCCCCTCCTCAGAAGAAAGATGGGTAACCCCAAACATAGAAGCGTATTACATTGCCAACCAAGTTCACCACATAATCCCTTACATCCTGTAAGACGAGACAAAACAATGGGTACACCTGGAGAGGAATACAACTGAAAATACCCACACCACAGCATACCCAAACAAACTAAGGGAAATCCCCACAACACTAAACAGGTTCACACAGACCATGCTTAAAGAATGGAAAGAAATAGGTAAACTATCCCCAACCCCATCCCCACTAATTCCCCTGGCACACCACTTGCTATTCCACCATGCAGCACAAAACCTCCAGATAAAAACCTGGCAAACCAAAGCTTATACCACCTAACAGATTTCTACAAAAATAACAAACCCATATCAACACAAGAAACACAAGACAAACTAGGGGACACCCAAATGGCCTGGCTAACACACCACCAATTACATGCCCTCTTAAACAATCCAGTAGTAAAGTCAGCAGCAACTAGGCTCCTGACAACCTTCGAAAACATGGCAAAGGGATGGTATCCGCAATATACAAAATACTACTCCAAAATCCCACAAAACCCCTAAATGTAATAAAAAAACAATGGGGGGATGACATAGGCTTTGAGATTAACCCCACCCAATGGACCAGAATGTGGTCTAAACCTCCCTTTAAATCTGTATCAGTGAAAAGAAAAGAACTCACTCTGAAACTCACTTACAGGTGGTACCTAAAACCACAAACACTAATACGCCCCGGAGCCTCACCAAAATGCTGGAGAGGATGCACCTCCACAGGCACATACCTCCACATGTGATGGGAACATCCTAAAATCCAACTCTTATGGACATCAATCATACAAGAAATATGCAAAATAACTAAGCAAGTATTACAAGTCACCCCAGAACTGGCCCTACTAAACATCTTCCAAGACAATGCCCACTCACATCACAAGGAGCTCATAACCCACCTACTCTCTCAGCAGCCAGACGCATCAAACCCTGACACTGGAGAGACCTGTCAGGAGTAATGGTATCAAATAGTATGCAAAACAGTCTTATTAGAAAAACTAACCAACAAACTGAAACTGCCATGGGGAAAAATCAAAGAAGACGTCTTCACCCCGGCATAGTTACCCTTTATCACATACACAACAAGATAACAGCAAGAACCCACCAACAGCATACAAATCAATCTGGCTAACCTGTTCCAAAACCACACACACACACCCCACTCACAAACAAAAACAGATTTCACTACAGTCAATCAAAGACAACCACACCCTGGGCCACCCCTAAACTCTCTCACCACAAGCGAATAGTAAAGAGAACCCACACAGCTGATGCTGACACAAAACCCCCACGTTCACTAAGTAGAATACAGTGGTACCTCTGGATACGAATGCGATCCGTTCCGGAGCCCCGTTCGCATCCTGAAGCGAATGCAGCCCACGTCTGCTTGGGTCGCGATTCGCTGCTTCCGCGCATGACGTCATTTTGAGTGTCTGCGCATGTGCAAGCGGCGAAACCCGGAAGTAGCGCATTCCGTTACTTCTGGGTCGCCGCGGAGCGCAACCCGAAAAAGCTCAACCTGAAGCTACTTCAACCTGAGGTATGACTGTAGAAGCATTGCCACCCAACCCCAACCCCCATTCCCCCTCCACCTCTTTCCCCCTTCCCCCACGCATCATTGAACAGCAGAGACTAAAAAAGACAACTCCTAGCTAAAGTAATAGGTTCAGCAGGACGCAAAGCTCTCTCCTGCACAGATCCAGACACTGGATTGCATCAATGAACTTAGTGAAGCATGCCTAAGGGCTCATTTCTTCAGTATCACTGATTAAACCTAGATGATAACTTCACATTTCACCACTGGGGTTTGGAATCAACTATCATCCCTGTGGATAAACCTTTCCACAAAAGTGTTTGTGACTGCAACCCTGTAATGAAGTTTGGCTCCAATACGAAACATTCAGGTACATTACAGGAATTCTATAACGCAAGTGCTGCCCAGTCAATAGCACAAGATGCTCACTGGATCCCGTATTCCCTGAAATAAAATAGGAACAACCCAAAGCAGCTCACTCTACAGGATAGTGTCCAGCAAGGCTCAGAAGGATCTAAATTCTGCTTAACTTTATGTATCCCACTCAACATACGTTTCAAAAAGGGTCTTAAACGCCCTCCCCAAGTTCCTTATGAGTGAGCAAAGCTCCACATGGATAGGAAAATATTCCTGCCTCCAGACAGAAAGTTCGCGTTTCTTCTAGTTAAATACCATCTGACATTGTCTGGAATTGAAGCTGTTGCTTTTCTTAGGGGAACTGGCATCAACCCATCCCCGCAGGTGCGGCCCCTGGGCTCGCCAGGAGTGGAGGCGACTTGCCTTCCCAGCGATCTTCCCCTTCTGCTCGACCGAGTTTCTCTCTCACGGAGAAGCCCACACGAAACCCGGCCAGCTAGCAAAATACAAGCCGGCCCGGCCTGGACTTCAAGACTAGCGCTCTCCCCCCCCCCCCCAACCGCGCAGAAGCCACCGAGAAGCGCAGGAGGCGCCCCAGGGCCGGCCGCCGCCTCCCTCCGTCCCTCCGCCTGGCTCCCCTGAGCGCCTCGGGGCTTCGTCGGGGGGAGTCGGGCGGGGGCGGCGCTGGGGGGCGAGGCCGGAGGAAGGACCCCTCCCCTCCCCCTCCCCGCTCCGGCCACTCACAATTCCTTGATGAGCACCATCTTCCCCCGCAGACAGGAGGCCAACGCGCAGGCGCGACCGGCGCCTCCTGCCCATAGCGCACCGCGCACCTTCCGGGAGCTGCTCCCCGCCCCGAACGAAGAGAGCAGCCAATCGGCGTCGTGACCTTGCCGAGCTGACCCACCAATAGGAGCGGGACTTGGGAAGGCACGACGGCCGGGAGCGTCCGCCCGCCCCACAGCGTCCCGACGCATTCGCTCATTGGCGGAGCGCGCGAGCGGACGGGCCGTAGTCTCCAGCCAATGACAAGGGCGCCCCGGTTCTAACCAACCAGCGCCACCCGGCGCCCGGAGGCCGGGCGGGGAGCGGAGCGCGGCCGGAAGTGACTCGCAGCAAGCCGAGGCGGACATCCGGCCGCCCAACGGAGCGGCTTCCGGGCCCCGTCTGCGGAGGCCGCTTCTGGCGCGTCCGGGCCAGCCCTGCCGGGGCGCCGGGGAGGAGGCGGCTGGAGGCCCGGGCGGCGCTGAGCCCCTCCCCGCCCTCGCTTCCTCCCAGCGGGCGGAGGCCTCCGGCGGGAGGCGGCTCTGGGGGGAGAGGCGTCCCGGCGGTGGGCGGAGAACGGGATCATCATAATAAGAATAATAATTAGTAGTAGTCGTAATGGTTCCTGTGATTTACACGAAGCAGCTTTGGCGCTTCCGAGGCTTTGCTGCCTTGGCCTCCTGCCTGGACACCTCCGCTGGCTAAAGCGGAGAACACGCCGGTTGTCGGTCGACTCCCCGCCTGGGACGGCTGCCTATTCCTGCACTGCAGGAGGTTGGACGAGAAGATACTTGGGGTCCCTTCCCGCTCTACCGTTCTTTGCTTCTATGCCGCGAGTCCCTTCAGAGACGCTTCATAAAGACCTTTGCCAAGCCAAAGGGCGCTGAGCATCGCCCCAGAAACAAGCGACACACACCGGGAATATATAGGGCACTCACGGAGAATATATGGAATATATACACCCACGGAGAATATATAGGCCCAAAGAACAAACCCACATTTTTATAGCATAACTAAACAGGGCTCTCTGATTACCCGCAGAATACTGATCTGTGGGATTTGGACTGAGAAATGCAGAGTCCTCCTTCCTCGCTTGTTGCTGTTTAGTCGTGTCCGACTCTTCGTGACCCCCTGGACCAGAGCACACCAGGCACTCCTGTCTTCCACTGCCTCCCGCAGTTTGGTCAAACTCATGCTGGTAGCTTCGAGAACACTGTCCAGCCATCTCGTCCTCCGTCGTCCCCTTCTCCTTGCGCCCTTCATCTTGGTTTGACATGAAGCCATGGCTGACTCTGGTTCCAGCACTTTTTAATGCTGTTCTTGAAAGGGCTCATTAGCATATATATATATATATATATATATATAAAATGCAGCGGTTGTTGTGGAAAGTGCTTCTGAGTGAATTGACAGTCTCTCTAACAATATGGAGAGCAGGATTTTTCACATTAAATGAAAACATATTGGAGAGAACAAGCCATTCCCATAACCTTGAAATATCACTGGGGCTCACCAGAGTTGCTCAGTATGCTTTTGGTAGTAAAAATGTTTTGCCAGCAGTTGGGAATCACCATCCTAGAGAAAAGGTGAATCCAACTGTGACAGCCTTCCAAAGGATCTGTAAAACTGCAGCAAGTCAAGCCCACTCCCCTTTCTAGGGAGCAGAAGCAAAGGGCAGCCGATTGACTCACGTTCCTGCCTGTCATGCCACAAAGGGGATAGTGTCCCCATTCTGCCCACCTGCCTACACACCAACACCCCCACAAAGCTGCCTGTGGGTGGGGTTTCCCCTGTCTTCCTTCCTCCCCTTCTCCTTGTGCCCTCAATCTTTCCCAACATCAGGGTCTTTTCCAGGGAGTCTTCTCCTCTCATGAGGTGGCCAAAGTATTGGAGCCTCAGCTTCACAATCTGTCCTTCCAGTGAGCACTCAGGGCTGATTTCCTTAACAATGGATCGGTTTGATCTTCTTGCAGTCCATGGGACTCTCAAGAGTCTCCTCCAGCACCATAATTCAAAAGCATCAATTCTTCGGCGATCAGCCGCCTTTATGGTCCAGCTCTCACTTCCATACATCACTACTGGGAAAACCATGGCTTTAACTATACGGACCTTTGTTGGCAAGGTGATGTTGGCAAACTGTCTAAGTTTGCCATCGCCTTTCTCTCAAGGAGCAGGCGTCTTTTAATTTCGTGACTGCTGTCACCATCTGCCGTGATCATGGAGCCCAAGAAAGTAAAATCTCTCACTGCCTCCGTTTCTTCCCCTTCTATTTGCCAGTAGGTGATGGGCCCAGTGGCCATGATCTTCATTTTTTTGATGTTGAGCTTCAGACCATATTTTGCGCTCTCCTCTTTCACCCTCATTAAGAGCTTCTTTAACTCCTCCTCACTTTCTGCCATCATGATTGTGTCATCAGCATATCTGAGGTTGTTGATATTTCTTCCGGCAATCTTAATTCCAGCTTGGGATTCATCCAGCCCAGCCTTTCGCATGATGAATTCTGCATATAAGTTAAATAAGCAGGGAGACAATATACAGCCTTGTCATACTCCTTTCCCAATTTTGAATCAATCAGTTGTTCCATATCCAGTTCTAACTGTAGCTTCTTGTCCCACATAGAGATTTCTCAGGAGACAGATGTTGTGATCAGGCACTCCCATTTCTTTAAGAACTTGCCATAGTTTGCTGTGGTCGACACAGTCAAAGGCTTTTGCATAGTCAATGAAAGAGAAGTAGACGTCTTTCTGGAACTCTGTAGCTTTCTCCATATTCCAGCGTATGTTTGCAATTTGGTCTCTGGTTCCTCTGCCCCTTTGAAATCCAGCTTGCACTTCTGGGAGTTCTCGGTCCACATACTTCTTAAGCCTGCCTTGTAGAATTTTAAGCATAACCTTGCTTGTGTGTGAAATGAGTGCAATTGTGCGGTAGTTGGAACATTCTTTGGAACTGCCCTTCTTTGGGATTGGGATGTAGACTGATCTTCTCCAATCCTCTGGCCACTGCTGAGTTTTCCAAACTTGCTGGCATATTGAGTGTAGCACCTTAACAGCATCATCGTTTAAAATTTTAAATAGTTCAGCTGGAATACCATCACTTCCACTAGCCCTGTTATTAGCAGTGCTTTCTAAGGCCCATTTGACTTCACTCTCCAGGATGTCTGGCTCAAGGTCAGCAACCACACTACCTGGGGTGTATGAGGCATCCATATCTTTCTGGTATAATTCCTCTTTGTATTTTTGCCACCTCTTCTTGATGTCTTCTGCTTCTGTTAGGTCCTTACCACTTTTGCCCTTTATTATGGTAATCTTTGTACGAAATGTTCCTTTCATATCTCCAATTTTCTCTGGTTCTTCCCATTCTATTGTTTTCCTCTATTTCTTTGCATTGCTCGTTTAAGAAGGCCTTCTTGTCTCTTCTTGCTATTTTTTGGAAATCTGCATTCAATTTCCTGTATCTTTCACTATCTCCCTCGCATTTTGCTTGCCTTCTCTCCCCTGCTATTTGTAAGGCCTCGATGGACAGCCACTTTGCTTTCTTGCATTTCCTTTTCATTGGGATGGTTTTCGTTGCTGCCTCCTGTATAATGTTGCGAGCCTCCATCCATAGTTCTTCAGGCACTCTGTTCACCAAATCTAAATCCTTAAACCTTTTCCTCACTTCCACTGTGTATTCATAAGGGATGTAACTTAGATTGTATCTTACCGGCACAGTGATTTTTCCTACTTTCTTCAGTTTAAGCTTGAATTTTGCTGTAAGAAGCTGATGATCTGAGCCACAGTCAGCTCCAAGTCTTGTTTTTGCTGGCTGTATAGAGCTTCTCCATTTTTGGCTGCAGAGAATATAATCAATCTGATTTCGATGCTGCCCATCTGGTGATGTCCATGTGTAGAGTCGTCTCTTGTGTTGTTGGAAAAGAGTGTTTGTGATGACCAGCTTGTTCTCTTGGCAGAACTCAATTAGCCTTTGCCCTGCTTCGTTTTGAACTCCAAACTTGCCAGTTGTTCCTCTTATCTCTTGATTCCCTACTTTAGCATTCCAATCCCCTATAATGAGAAGAACATCCTTCTTTGGTGTCATTTCTATAAGGTGTTGTAAGTCTTCATAGAATTGGTCAATTTCAGTTTCTTCAGCACCAGTAGTTGGTGCATAAACTTGGATTACTGTGATGTTAAAAGGTCTGCCTTGGATTCGTATCGAGATCATTCTATCATTTTTAAGATTGCATCCCAGTACAGCTTTCGCCACTCTTTTGTTGACTATGAGGGCCACTCCTCTTTCCTCGCAGGGGAATTCAAATAGGGATACGGTCCAAAGTAGCACAGGCTGCTCTGGCGCATGTGGCAGTGAGACAGTTTTGGACAGCACAGAAGAGGTAGAAGGGTAGTTATGTTGCTAACATATGAATGTATTTCAAAACAATACAAGGAAGGCTTTCATCAGTTGTCCTACATTCCAACTACCCAAGCTCACAACAGTGGCAGAGAGTTGCTCTCCTGCCTTTAGCAGTCCTCAGAGGCAGGACCTCCATTAAAACAGCATTTTTTTACATAACTGGCAAATAAACCATTTTGCCCCTGAAGAACAGTAACGTGGATTGGTTTATTTGTTGGGCAAATAAATCACTTGCAGCTTCCTCCTCTGCGGTCCTCTATCTCTCCCTGTTGATTTTTAGCCACCTCTGTCATGTTGTTGTGCAGAGCAGGAGAGCAGGTCTGGGATTTTTTTCAGCGCGGGGGTAATGGTGTCATCTGCTGGAGTGCCATGCTGCCTCGCAGACCCTCCTGGCTCTGTGAATCAGGTCTTGATGAGGCTTTTAAGCTTTACTATTGTTTATGACTGATTAGCATGGAAGGAGGATGAGGAAGACAATCAGGTAGAGGCTGGACCCCTCTTCTTTGAAGGGGTTCCTACTTCATGCTTGCAGTTTTAATGATTAACACATGTTCGCTGGGTTGTTTGCACTTCTAATTAAAAGCTAAAGGTTACATTTCAGCCAGCTGAAGATCTTTTGCTAAAGCTCAATGTGCTTTACAAGCTGCACTTTAGCAGTCAGAAGTCAATGTATCCGAGGTCTGTTGAGCTTCCTCCCCGGAAACAATGTGTAGGGTTGTGATCTTGGGATGTTATGGTGTTGCTGCTGTTTAGGGTGTGTGGGTGTTATACACATGATCGGAGCAGCTGGTTGCATTTTTGCATTCTCCATGGTTCTGTGGCTGCTGTGGGGGCCTCTCATTATGGCTCCTGCACTTCAGAATTTACCTCTGCTTCCTCAAAGCAGCTTCCCCCTGAAGGCCTCGTTATTCCCTGATGCTGCCTGAATTTTTTTGAGTTATGGGAAAAACACAAAGTGGTTTTGTTTGCATGTTCAAGTGGGGAAACGGTTGCTCCATTAGTGCAAAAGGGGACCCCTCTCTCCTTCCCTCTCTCTAGCACCCTTTCCGCCGCTCCAATAATTCTCTTTAAAGTTATTTGGAAGTGTATGCTTAATTATATTTGCATATGAAAAATAGGGTCTAATTAGTGTGATTGATTATTATTTTAACCTTAATGACATTTTGAGTATCTGTCCCTCCCTAATAGCAAAAGTATCACTAATAAATCATGTTCTTTGTATGGCGATGGTCTATTGAGCTGCCATATGAAACATATTTTATTAATATTCCAGAATGTATTGAATCTGAAACAAGTCAAACAACTGCTCATTTATTAAACCGTTTAAATGTCAGCTTTATACAGTCATAATATTACAGGTGTAGCAGGAACCCCCCACCCCAATCATTCAGTTTGTACAAACTTCACACTCACACACTACATATGCCACACTTCTGCTATAAATTCATAGAAAAATCAACCATACATCAGATTTGCACTGTTCCATTTTTATTTTACTCCATATGACAAGGACTATCAAAGGGGGGTGGCTTGGTTCTGGTCAGCCATAATCCCTTCACCATCCCAGCACATCCACAGGAGCCCTGCCCAGTTGCTATGCCAACCCTGATGGTCCTAGACAGAAGACCATCAAGATCACAAAGAACTTGCATATGGGAGTGGATTCAGCATGGACTGAAACAAAGGACAATGATCAGATCTTCCCTCTGGGGGCAGGAAACTGCCAACTCCCTTTGTCTCCTGGAAGTGACTCATGGGGAGGGGGAAAGGAGGAACCAGCCAGGTGACAGGACACTCAGGTTACCACCACAACTCCTCCCTCAACCCCTCCTTTCTGTAATGTATGCATGATGTTTCTGGGGGTGGGCTTGACCTAGAGGATGGGAATTTCAAAAGTTTTTATAAGGTCTTGCACACCATCTTTCTGGGTCTTTCCTCTCTCTCGCAAGTGAGGGGAACACCCTGTTGCAACAGTTCAATAAAGGCCAAGCCTACAGGCTGCTGTTTTGCTCCAAGTTATCCTGGTTGGTGTCTTTATTTTGTCCAAGGGAGCCCTCGGATTTTTCCGGTAACACAGGAAAGACATCTGTGAAAGACATCTGCAGGCCAAGCCGACTCAAAATACTAGTTATTTCACTCAAATATATGAAGGAAATAAAAATTCAATTATGTAATTTATGGCACTAAATAAATTTATATCGGCTAACATACATGTTTTGAATTAGCAGGCGTACTTTTCTCGCAAAGTTTCCTGCCTTCCCTGAGAAGCTCAGCAGCTGAGACCCATTTGCACATTTCCCCCCCTCCCAAGACAAGCGGCAAGCAAGGAGCGAAAGGAAGGAAGCGGCCAGAGGGAGCTGCTTGCACCATCAGCATGCAAATACACCTTGCCACAGAGGAACTTGGCCAGCCAAGAGGATCCTCGGCCGTTGCCTTAAGACGGTTGCCTGCAGTTCATATGCAGCATTGGCATTTCAGCCCTAATTAGAAATTAGCATAGTCACATTGAGATGAATTGAATCAGACTAAAGATGATTAGCAAAGTAATGCAAGAAATCATTAAATTAAGCCAGTGTGCCAAGTCCACTGCTGATCTATCACAAATTTGGGCTCCTAATGAGCTATTAATTAATGGGTTGGGTCAAAATCATGTCATTCATTTGCATCTGTAGATATTCTTCCACCATTCTCTCCCCACCCTGCAACTCTTTTGCCTCCCACAACTTTTGTCCCCAAAATCACTTGTGGAAAGCTAGAAGTAAGACAATTGCATGATGAAAGAATCCTTAGCTGATTAATCCCATGAGCTGGACTAATCAAGCAATCAATCAAATTTGTATGTATGGGCAGAAACCATAGTTCTGAAGTCGCCATCATAGTTTCTGTGCCTGTAGCTGATGTCTGCATCGCAAGCGTTGAGCCAAGCTAGAAGTGAGCAGCACACTGTTGGTAAGAGCTCTCCACCCCCCCTTTAAACCTTACCCAACACCCCCAAAGAGAAAAGGATGACAGAGAACCTTGGAACATCAAAGACCTCCAGCACTGGACCACACGTGCACTTGAGGGCATAAAGCTTGATGATTTAAAAAGAAACCAAACGTCAGGCTTACTGGAGGGACAGTGCTTTAAAATGTATAATAGCACATGGGTGTGTTACCCTCAAAAAATGTATTGTAGAGCTGGAAAAGGTTCAGAAAAGGGTAGCTGATATGCTCGAGGAACTAGAGCAGATCCCTTGTATGGCAAGGTTACAACATTTGGCCCTTTTAGTTTAGAAAAAGTAAATTGTGGGCATGACAGAGGTGTAAAATGATGCACAGAGTGGAGAATATGAGCAGAGAAAAACCTTTCTCCACTTACTTGTAATGCTAGAACCCCAAGGAGTCATCCAATGGAGCAGAATCTGGGACAATTCAGGACAGGCAAGAAGAAGGACTTCTTCACACACGGCATCAATGAACCGTGGAATCCACTCCCACCAGAGGTCAGGGTGACTAGCAACTTGCACTGTGCAGGGAGCTGTCGGCAGCAGACTCCCAAGTCTTCAGCCCCCTCTGGCTTCATCATGGCCAAGTATAGTCACAATCCAGCTGGAAATCGGCCGGTGTGGTTATTTGATGGGGGTAGGCATGTTGGCCTTGCCCTTATCAGAGGGGACCAGCAGCTATATCATTGGGAAGCTCGACAGCCCACAAAGGCTAGCAGATGGAAGCGTTTGCCACCTGGGAAGAAAGCAAAGTTCCTAAGGTTGGTCCCCAGCAGCAGCTCCAGGTAGAACAAGGAGAGACTCTTCCCTGAAACCCTGGAGAGCCATTGTTGCCGGCCAGTGTCAGCAACACTAAGCTAAATGGACCTGTTTTCTGACTGGGCTGCCCACACTCTGCAAGCTGGCAGGTGGAAGATCAGGTGCCTCCAAGGTCTGAAGAAGCACCTCAACTCAGGAGTGGCTGGAGGGGCCCAGACTCAAGATGGGTGGCAACAGAACTCCCCAGCAGCCTTTGTGAAATCTCTTGCTGCTGGCTTAAAAGGCACCAACTGCCATTGATCAGTATGGGTCATAAGGAGGAGATCTTAGTGGAGGAGAAGGATAGGCATAGAGGTGGGGCTATGAAAGGGGAGGAGAGGTGGGATTTGGATTGTTTGTTGTTTTGTTTTGTTTTGTTTTGTTTTGTTTTGTTTTGTTTTGTTTTGTTTTTATCAGTGGACACAAAAGGCCTTCCCAATGGGAATCCTAAGAAGAGTTCCGCAGCTGAGTTTGTAGAATTTCAGTGATAAAGAGGAACATATTGCCAAAAACATTGTTTTTGTTTCAATCAATCCTGGTGGTAAGCAGTGTGAGCTGCTTCAAAGAATGGCAAAAAGACATATCAAGAGTTATCTGGAGAGAGGGAAAACCAAGAATTAAACACAAATTATTAATAGATGTTAAAGATAGAGGAGGTTTCTCTCTACTGGATTTAAGATTATATTATGAAGCATCTTGCATTTGCTGGATCCTGGGTTGGATAAATTTAACAAATGCTGATTTCTTAGATTTGGAAGGTCATGATAATAGATTTGGTTGTCATGCGTATCTATGGTATCATAAGGCCACAAAAGTTTTTATAATCGTATAATAATAAACGATTCTTTAAGTCTGGGAGAAATACAAAGATCTATTAGAACAGAAAACACCTTGGTGGCTTTCCCCATTAGAAGTAATATCTATGAAAAAAAGTGAATATGAGGACAACCAATTAAAATTAAAAGATTTTGAAGATGTTAGAGAAAAAGTAACAGATGGTTACAATATTTTAAATTAAATGAAACACTTTAAAATGATAAAAAGAAAGAATTTAGTTATGAAGTGTCAAAGACTTCAAAGAGAAATAGTAGAAGGTAGTACAAAAGTGCTGTCAAAAATCTACAATCTGCTCATAGGAGTTGGACACCAAAGAGGAACAGGTCAAATGTGTTATGATAAAATGGGCGAAAGATGTGGGACATAATATATTAATGGCGGATTGGGAAAGGCTTTGGAAGACAGATATGAAATTTACTGCATGTACTCTGCTGAAAGAGAATTATATGAAAATTATGTATCGGTGGTATCTAACCCCGGTTAAATTAGCAAAAAGATCTAATAAGTGTTGTTAATGTAAAGAAACAGAGGGTACGTTATATATGTGGTGGGAATGTAGGAAGGTTAAAAACTTTTGGGAAATGATTTATAATGAAATGAAATAAATGTTTAGAGTAACCTTTGTTAAAAAAACCCAGAAGTCTTTTTATTAGGTATTGTAGGAGCAGAGATTCCAAAAGACCAGAAAAAAAAGTTTCTGTATGCTACGACGGCTGCCCGGATACTGTTAGCCCAAAGATGGAAAGAGGAAGCAGTCCCAACCAAAGAAGATTGGCAAACCAAGTCACTGGACTAGAGACTAACTGGAAAGCTCAGAAATCAAGATGACAAGAAATTTTAAAAAGAATGGGAAATGTTTATTATGCTTTTGCAAAAGTATTGTAAACAGGTTAATACATTGGCAGGATTTTAAAAACACTTGTAATTTTAGAAATAGTACAGAAAATCTGAGGTAAATAATAATAATTTGGAGTAGAAATGATATGCAGTGGGTGGGGGGAGAGGGGAGTCACGGGATTCGGAGAAGCCCATTTTATCGATTTGATATTGTTTTGTATATATTTTGGTTGTTATTGTATTTGTTATTGTGTGTTTTTTGTTTTTGTTATTTTTCTTGAAAATTTAATAAAAATGTTATAATAAAAAAAGTCCCGCAGCTGGATCAAGACAATGGGAGATCCTATTTCCTGCTGTGTCCCCTCCCAAGCAGGTATGGTGTGTAGTACGCCCATGCTGTTCTTCACAGGTAGACTGCCTCTGAACACATTCAGGCCTCACGCTCAGGACCCTCCCTTCTCTTGTACAAGCACCCCATTCTGATCCATCCATGCTTGTGGCAGCAATAAGTTTGAGGTCAATGTATTGAGACAGTCATTAATATGGTGACTTTATTAGCAGTTTCAGCCAACACTCATTTCCTGATGGAGTTCCCTCAGCCATTCCCCAGGGATCATCTCCAACTCCCACCCCAATCGCTCTTGTAAGGAAATGTCTCCTGATTACTGCAGTGGAATCCGACCTTAAAGCAGTGAAGTTCATGCACAAACCAAGCAATTTCACTGTGCAAAATTTCTCTCCCACGCACCCCTTTCCTACCCCCCACGCCACCCCAAAGAGTGAAACTCTTATCAGCACAATGCTTCTACCACCCCTTTGCGAATATTTGACAGTTGTCTGAGTTGAGGGAGCAGCCCTATAATTGCTTCAGAGCCATTGCTGGCTGGCATCTCTCTGGCTTATATGTGAAACTTTCCTTGGCCTGGTGATGGAATAGGGGTGGGAAGGGAGGGAGAAGTGCTCCCTAGGGAAGATGCCACACCACTGGCATGAAAGGGAGACTGCAGCCTCCTGAGAGTTGTGGTGCTCATGGGTTTGGGGGAGGTGGGAGTAGGCAATGCCTTCTGAGAGCCTTCCAGATGCCTTGGGTTACAACATTAGATGGGTAGAGATCCTTGGCTTTTTCTCTCTGCCTGTGACAGCCAGATATTCAGAAGAGTTTAAACAAATGCACTTGACAACACACCATCGGAGGAAATCCTTGCTGTGGCCTGGCAGTTAATTATTCCACTGTGCCAGCGCATGGCAAGGGGAGCACAGGATGAAGTAACCCTCGGCTTGGCAGACCCACCCAGGGGCCAGGCAGGTGGCAGGCGTTGCATGGGGCTTGCTCAGTGCTGCACTCGGCGAATGGATTGCACCTGGGAGGTCTGAGCATGAGATCCCAGTTCCCGGACATGCTTGTATTCGCCCCCATGGCAATCGCTCTCCACGACGTACTGGAAGCCCCGGTACCCAGGGAACTGGAAGCATACCCATCTGAGGAGACAGAAAGGAGGGGGGAGAAATCAGCTGAGATGTGGGGAGATCAAGCCAGCACAGAGCAGGGCAGCCAGGGGCTCAGGACTCCCTCAAAGTGCTCAGAGGGCAGGGGGTGTTTGGAGGCTGCGAGAAAACTCTGATTTTGCAAGGCCACACACCATCCTCATCCGCATAGAATTCCCTGCTGCTGTTTATTCTTAGGAAGCAGAGGCCCCTAAGAATGGCAAGGCCTCCACTCTGCTGGGTTCAGGGAGCTACCTTCTTCAGACCAGAGGGCCCACAGAAACACCAGAAGGTAATGTCACAGGCCAGGCCACCAGGCCTTGTTGTGCAAAGTCGTATTGGCTCCATCCTATTGCTATCAATCAATCCCTTGCAGAAAGGAGGAGAAAGCCCTTTCTCTACCAAAGACAAGTCCAGGGACATGAAAACGTTGCAATATGCTAGCTCAGCTCTCCTTTGAAACTCGCCCTGAGAAATGTGACCCTCAGTTCCAGCCCTGAGAAACAAATGGAAGAGGAGTACTTGGCAGGGCCCCAAAAAAGTACTTACGCTCCAGAACTCGCACGGAGGGACCCCACCTCATTGCTGCCCCAGCCCATCGCCTTGAGAGATGGGTAGTCATCACTCAGCTCCCCTTTGCGTCCCATAAAATTTTCCTGCTCAAATATGGTCATCTTGCTCTCCCGGTGATTCTGTGCAGGGCAAAAACATCATCTTATGCACTGGCCTGGACTCCTCATTATTAATAAATGCAAATAACAACAATGTCAATAATAATACCAGCCACCATGTCTGTCCTGCAGCTCTTGGACCTCTACAGCCAAGGAGCCAAATCTGTTAAGGCGCAGGTGAGCAACCTACAGTCCTTCAGATGCTGGATGTGAACAATTCCCGCCAGGCCAGTGTGGCCCTTAGTCAGGAATGACGAAAGCCCGGCAGCCCACTGACACCCCAAGGGCTGCGTTCCTGTGTCAAGGAGATGCTGGCTGCTTCCTCCTACTGACGCTTCTCCTGGAGGGATGAGAGGCTTGGCTGAGCTACCTCCTGCCTCTCCAGATGTCAGTAGTGCAGGGCTTGGTTTCTAAAGCCACCAGACAAACTTGGTCGGTTTTGACTTTCCCTGTGACCTCTAAGGCAGTGTGGCTGACAGCTGGGTTCCAGTGGGCTTGCTGGCACAAAGCTATGAAGTTCTTTGGCAGTAGACCCAGGGCAGACCACAGGAGGGACTTCTCAGTGATTTACTTCAACCATTAGCTCCTGTCTGAGACATGGTGATGCCTGCTGGTCCAGAAGGCTTTCAAAGGGAATGAGGGAAATTCATGGAGAAGCAACATTCTTAACCCCCAGGTTTAGAAGCAGTCTATCTCTGAGTAACAGCTGCTGGGACTAAACAAGATGAGGAGGATGCTACCTTCAGGGCTGCTGGGTAGGCTCCTTGGCTCAGCCACTGCGGGATGTAGGATGCTCAGCTAGATGGACCCACCTGAGTCTGATTCCGCCTGGCTCATCTTAAGTTTGTTAGCAAAATAAAAAAGCTGAGCTTAGCAAGTCAGAGGGGAGGACTTGGACCCCTGGCTTCAGGTTCCAAGAAAGGAGATTCTGACTAAACACCAGGAATAACTGTTTGACTGTAAGAGCTGGTTGACAGTGGAACAGTCTCCCTGGGAAGGTGGTGGACTCTCCTTTCTTTGCGGTTTCTAAGCAAAGGATGTATGGCCACCTGTCATGGAGGCTTTAGCTGAGATTCCTGCATTCCAGGGGGTTGGACTAGATGGCCCTTGGGGCCCCTTCCAACTCTACAGTTCTATGATTCCTCAGCAGAGCAACCCTACTCTCACCGAGGAACATAATTTGGAGTCTAAACCTTGGTCCGCCTGCTCAGTATTGCGTGCGCAGGCAGGCAGAGGCTCTGCAGGTTTCAGGCAGGGTCTTTCGCTGGCCCTCCCTAGAGATGCTTCCAGGTACTGAGCCTGGGACCGTCTGCATGCAAGGCCGGCACCCTGCCACCCTCAGGCAGCCTGGGCTACAACTCCCTCCAGGCAGCCTCCTGCTGGCCCACCCCAGTTGCTCACCGCACAGGAGACGGGCCGGAAGGAGCTCAGCCGGTGGGCATGGTAGGCGTTGCTTCCGCTCCAGGCTTCCCAGCAGGGGTAGTCGCCTTGCTCCAGCACAAACTGCTGCCCCTGGAAACCGGGGTGCTCAAAGCCGACCCACCTGTGGGGAGAAAGGAGGTGGGCCTCTGTAGCCAGGAAGGTGCAGGCTTAGCTTGGGGGATGAGGGGGGGAAGGAACATTCTGCAAACAAAGCTCGGCCCCAGCAGGCTAGAAAAGCATCATCCGGCTGTGCCCTGCATGGTGCCAGAATGTTTGTGTGCAGACATTGGCGTGAACGCACAAGACAGGCCAGGCGCACTCTCTCCCCACTGCACACAGCATAGTCCTGTGCACATTCACTCTCCAAGGCAGCTGGAGCTATTTTATTGATTCACTACATTTATATCCCTCCTTCTTTCCGCCAAAGCGCTCCCCATACCATCCTCACAACAACCCTGTGAGGTAGGTTAGGCTGAGAGACTGTGATGGACCCATGGTCACCCAGCAGAGCCTTGTGGCTGAGCAGAGACTTGAACCCTGGTCTCCCAACGTCCCAGCTCAGCACTAACCACTGCACAACACTCCCCATCTGAGCAGGTCTAGGGTTGCAAGCCTCAGGGATTTACCTGCTAGGAACTCTGAGGAAAGGAGTCAGGCTCTGAAGCTCAGCAAGGTCCACTCACGACGTGTGAGCGAGGCATTCACCACCAGAGCGAAGGTGAGGACGAGGCAGGGGCAGTGGGGTGAAGGGGTCCCAGGAAAAGCAAGAAAGTGGGCAAGAGTTCTGGGAAGCAGTAGGGAGCCAACTCACGTGCCGCTCTCAACGCGAGCTGAGCAGACATTGTCGAAGCCACACAATGTGATGTCGTAGCACTCAGAGGTGAACTCATGCTTCCGGCCCTGGAAGGCGGGCTCATCCCAGGCCACAATCTGAGAAGAGATGAGGGTGGGGGCTCAGGGTCCTGGGGAGGGGGGAGCAGGGAGGAAAGCCCACCAGAGAACCTGCTGTCGCTGCTCAGAGATCTGCCCTCAGAGTGGCAGGATTGAAGGGGCACTGGTGGGTGAGGGTCTCTCATTCCTCACTGGAGGGTTGAAGGCTTGGTCGAGAGAAGGGTCAGGAGCAGCCAGAAGTGACCCTGACCCCCTTTTCCAGAGTGCAGGGGTGAGTGGAAGAAGCCACACACTCAATGCCCGCCACAGTCGTATATGAAGGCATGCGTCCGCATTCAACCCCACAAGCAGCACCTCTGGGGAGAAGCACCTGCCTGCGTGAGCAAACACGAGGAAGCACATGAATGCAAATGACCTCATCTTATCCCCAGAAGAGCCAGTGAAGTAGGAGGGAGGGGAAGGGAGATTTTGAGGGGATTTGAACACAGGCCTGAGCCAAGTGCTCCCAAATCACTACACCATATGATCCCTCCTTAGTGCAGAAACATCTGAGCTCAAGTCCTTCCCTGTCCTGGACTCCTTGTTTAGCCTTGAAGAATTCACTCACTCTAAGCCTCAGCTCTCCATCTGCAAAATGGGACAGCTGCAAGCCTAACTGACAGGGTACTTGGTGGGAGAGCGCAATGAATGCAGTGAAGCACCTGGCAGATCGGAAGTGTAAGATAAATAACATGATTTGCTTCTGTTAATTGGTTTCAAGCAACCTGCCCCAAATTTCTGTTCTCTGCCTTCACAGTTTCTTGATACCGCCCCCCCCCCTTGCAAAAAAGTTTGTTCCCTGGGACTCCTCCACAACCCTGCTATACACATGACACATCGCTCCATACCTTCCAAAGTCCAGAGACTTTTCCGCTGTGATGACTCATGGTAGACTCTGCTTCCCTGTAGGGGAGAAAAGCGCAGGGCCAAAGGTGTTACAGGACATCTTGGGGAGCTTAAGGTTAACGCTGGAAACCTCTTTTCCAGGCCACACCACTCATCCTTCCAATACGGAAAAGCTGGGATAAAGGAGAAACATGTGGAAAGGGCAAGAGTAGCGATTACTCAAGGGACCTGCCTTCAGCCAGGACTAGGGCAGGGAAGACACTCAATTCAGGACGCATTTAAACCACATTTTATCACATTTACACTTTCCTTAACAAGATGAGAACCAAACGCAGACCTACCCTTTGAAACTGCACATATATGAATTTTTGCAATGAAGTTTTCCAACCAACCAAAGTTTTCAAACATTCAAATATTAGGGTGAAATGTGCATTAAAAATGGATATATTTGTGAAAATAGCATACACAGTTGTATTCTATTAGAGCAAACTGCTTGCAAAATGTGTACGTTGGTCAAAATTGTTCACATAAATATCTTTAGCAGAAGAAATTTGCACTAAAATGCTTAAGAATACACATGAAGATTTAAAAAAGGACAACCTTCAAATTGTTATAGAAATGTGAAGAACCAAATTTAAGGTTGGAAAAAATGAGGAACTAAGAGAACCGACATTGACAGATTCTTTCACCACTAGACAGCACTTACGGATGAGTTTGCCACAGAGCATGTGCAGAGTATGGTTCCCCTTTCTTGCCACTAAGACACCTATCAGGGCACGTTGCCCTCGAAAAATGACATCCAATCCTTCCTCGAGTCAATAGTTCACACCCATTGCCTGGGGTTGCTAGTTCCAGGATTGTACCCAAGTCTGCCTGAACCTGTTCTAGGGTTGAAGCGAACGGAGCCATGCCTGCCTGCCCCCCATGGGACTTCCAGCGGCACTTACCTGGTGAGCTCCAGCCGGACTCTCCCCATCAGCTCTTCTCCAGAGGGATTTTTATATCCGCTGTGCATCCCCAAATGCCCTGACTCAGCACAGGCTGGAACAAAAGTCTGTCTCCCAGAGGATCAAGCTGGCCTCATCCAGAGCCCGACCCCTCACAGTCACTCTCCCTCTCTTCCTCTCAGCGCAGGAACTGGAGACAGGGAAAAGGTCACTGGGCACATGGTGGGGTTCAGAGCAGCCCCTGTGTGCAGAACTTCTATTTCCCGGATGCTAAGCTTGACCCAGAAGCAAGGGAATGAGGAGTGCCTCAGAGCATAAGCAGAATGCCTACGAAATGGTGTGCGAGGTGGGGGAAGAGGATAGAGAGAAAGCCACCTATATCATGCTAGAAGCCAGCAGGGCGGTCTGGTGAAGCTGAATGTTGGAAGGTGCAAGACGGAGTAGCGCCTGGTTAAACTTTGGGTCTCCTTCCCACAGGAAGTAGCAACGGCCACCAACTCTTATGAAGGAGGCAAGACAAATTCATGGAGGAAATGGCTATCAATGGCTACCAGCCACGATGGCTTGTCCTGCCTCCACTGTTGGCGGCAGGGCACCTTTTCCAATGCCAGTTGCCATCAGCCCCCGCCTTGTGGGTGTCTGACTGACCGTAGGCAGGAGCGGATTGTGGACTAGATGGGCCTTTGGCCTGATCCAGCAGGACTCTTCCTATGTTCTTCTGTGGATGCCTCCCTCATGGCACTGACAAGCCACAACAACCCTGTGGAGTGGGACAAAGGGGAGACTGGGATGGGGATCTACTCAGAACCACCCAGGGTGCCAATGAAGGTTTGAACCTGGGTCTCCCTCACTGCGTGGCTCTCTTGGCTGGTCCAGGAGGCCTGGAGGTTGGGTAGGTGGTCTTGGGGCTGCGTGCCCTGCTTGGGATGCTATTTATAGCCTGGCATACAGACTGAGTTGCAAAATATTCCTCAGCCCAGGAAGGCCTTTTCACAAGCTCCACAATGGAAGCTGCTTCATCAGCAACTGCTCTGCTTGGGAGGGAGGACCAGTCTGGTGGTGGCGGCGGCGGGGGGGTGGGGGTGGGGGTGGCGGGTATTGTGGAGCAGAGGGCAGGGCTGGGGTGGATATCTGGTGGTTTTCCAGCTGAGTGCCCTCATTGCAAGATGTGATGACTGTGGCCTTTGAGGAGGACTCCGATGACCAAGCATCTCCATTGTGTCCTCCTGGGCTTTGCCCTGGCTAGGGCATGAAACGAGAGTGTATAAAATGCAGGGGAGTCACGACACCAGCCCAATCACTCCACCACGAAGCACCAGCAACCCAGGTAAGAGGTGGAGGGAAGGTGCCCTGCATCCTGGAGACATCTGGGGGCTTCTGGCTACTACGTGTGTGTGTGTGTGTGTGTGTGTGTGTGTGTCCCACCCCATCAAGGCACGAGATCTACCTTCATTTCCCGGGGAGAGCCCTTTTCTTGCTCACTTCCTTCACCATGGAAACCTTCTCGTCAGTCCCTCAAGCAGCGGGAAAGATGGCTCAGGATCTGAGCAGCAGGAAGATGGGCCAGATCAAAGAAATGTTATCAGGACAGGGAGCAGAAAGTCGTTCTTCCCGCATGAGGCAGTGATGGCCACCAACCTCGATGGCTTTGAAAGAGTGCCGGGCAGATTCATGGAGGCGGGGAAGGCTATCAATGGCTGCATCCACCATGGCTGTGTCCCCAGCTGCAGACAGCTATGCCAGTTGCTAGAAACCACAGGAGGGCAGAGGGCTCTGGGACTCCATTGCTTGTGGGTTTCCCAATGACGCCTCTGGTTGGCCACTGCGAGAACAGGAGGCTGCGTGAGGTGGTCCCCCATTGCCCTGATCCAGCAGGCCCTTCCTAGGTTCTTTCCTCTGAGCATTGATGAAAAGCACACACTGCCCTGAAGAAAGGGCAGAAAGGAACTGGCAGCAAAAGGCAGGGGTGGAAAACAGAATAGTACCAAAAGGGCAAGATGAATTTTGGGAAGCGACAAACTCTGCCCCACAAGTTAGATATTGGAAGGAGAAGTAACAGCATATTTCACCAGAATGCTCCTGCAGTAAGGAAGTGTGTCCCAGGACGATAGAAGTCATATTTTAATTTGCAGCTTATGATTAGTTGTGTGGAAAAGTATGCAAAAAGTGCTTTTCTTTTGAGAAACCAGAGGGAGTCAGCAGGAAAGGGCAGGAGGTGGCATGAGACTGCTCCAGATATGTAGGGTAGGCACCTGAAAAGGTGCTTTCTAACTGAACAGGTGTTACAATTTCAGGTCTTACCCAGACACGGCCATGTCCGAAAGCACAAGAACCACCCCTCCCAGCCATGACATGGACAGGAAGGAAAAAGACAGTCCCACCCCATCCACCAACTCATCCCCCGATTCCAGCAGTCAGGGTGAAGAGTCCTCTGCAGAACCTTTCCGGGTGAGTTGGGAGAAGGTGCCAGTTCTGAGCAGAGAGGCAGGACATGGGGAGGAGGCCCTGATCCCTTAGAGCGCATGGTTGTCCCTTCGGTGCTGCATCCAGTCTGGGCCTGTCTTGGGAGGGGAAGGGAAGAGAGCCCTGTTGGAAGCCCAGTCCCTATCCTTTGGTTAGGTCAGTGGCTGGTAGACCAGAACTGGAAAGAATGGTGAGGAGACACTTGCAGCTCTCTTTCTCTCTGCTGCAATAGAATGGCCACCAGAGCTTCAGGAAAGTGATAACAACAACAACAACCATTGATTTGTACTCCCATCCGACTGGGCTGCCCCAGCCACTCCGGGCAGCTTCCAGCATATATCAAAACATCGTGAAACATGAAACCTTAAAAAGCCTCCCTATGCAGGGCTGCTCACTCTCTCCACCCAGACAAACACACCTGACCTCTTGAAAGAAACAGCAGGCGGCCGTGGGGAAGAGCCCATGACATGTCCCCCTCGGACTGGGGAGGCCACGGGGGACCCAGGTTCCACCCCTGGGGACCCCTCTAGATATCCGTCCTATGGGGCATGCAGGGTGATTTGTATTCACCAGCACAATGCTCAGGGGGAGCCATGGGGAATCCTATTTCCAATTCTGTTTGCACCCTCACAAGATTTGGGCTGGTCACACTGCTTCACTTTCAGTCAGTGCCTAGCCCACAATTCCTGCTGAAATCCTGTAACTTCTTGTACCACAAAGATACTGGTTGGCTTTGCCTCGCTCTTGTCATCTTTTATCCCCCCTCAGACAGAAACAGTGGGCTGGCATCACAGAACAAACCAGGGCAGAATCAACCCACTGCTAAGGCTCTGCTTCTGTGCCCAGAACGTCTTCCCCCTACCCAATGCCTGCCAGGAGGGGGTTTGGCTCTCAGCCTGGCCTGGCCCACTAGGTTCTTGTGAGGATCAAGGTGTATATGGGGGGAATGCAAGCTATCTTGAGGTCCGTGGAGAAAAAATCATAAAGAGCTGCATCTTTCTCCAGGGTCTGCTGTCTTATCAGAGGGGTTGGCATTCACCTCCCCGTATGCTCTGCTTGCTTTTTCTGTATAGAAACCTTACAAAATAGCTTCACCACACTAGTCTTTCCTCCGTAAGGCAAAGGCACCAACCCTGGACATGGCGCCCTGAAACATCTTACCAGAATCTGAATTAAATGGAAAATTGAAAGGGGGCTCTGGCAACTGACAGGAATAAAAGAAGCTAAGGCAGCTGGGTGGCGGAAACACAGGAAGGTGGCAGAGAAAGCTCACTACATGGCCATTTCCTCACCAAGCACACCAGGGACATATGTGTTTGGGTGTGCATGCATGTGTGCAAACACGCATGTGTTCTTGTATTAACCCAGCAGGGAGTTTGTGAGCTACAAAGTATGAAAATTGGATTTATGCTGTTCCTTAATCCCTGCTGAAGGATTTGAATCTGGTACATGTGGCTCCAGAGCTCACCTCTGCCGCATCCCTGGACATTCAAGCCACCCTCCCTGAGCGCTCATTCCTTAAGATATCAATGAAGCAGTAAGTAGCCCTCTGGCAGCTGGCCCCGTCTGACGTGGTACAGACTTCTCAGGGTTCATATTTTGATTTGGGGCAGCAAAATGACCTATTCTGGCTGGATCTTCTTGTAATCGCATCTGTGCTGTTGATGCATTTTGTTCTGGTGTTACATTGCCAAACTGGGGCTTTAATCTATATGTGCTGCCTGCCCTGGGACCTTTCAGGGAATGAGAGACTATAAATGTCCATAGCAAATAAAGAAACAAATCCTCTAATAACTGCTGCTTGTGCTTCTCCCCCAACGCCCCCAGGAGACGTTTCATATTGCTTCTTTCAGATCATTGTGTTTGACCAGGAGAACTTCCAGGGCAAGCAGATGGAGTTCACCAGTGCATGCCTGAACCTGGGGGACCATGGATTTGACCGGGTGCGCAGTGTCCTGGCAACCTCTGGACCGTAAGTGATCTCAGCCAAACAGGGTTATCGAGAGGCAGGTGCTGGAGATGGGGATGTGCTAGGCTCCATAGCCAATAGGAGTCCCAGGTGATTCGCTTTCTTCCTTCTTTTTAAAAAAGTAAATCTCTACCCTCCTAGAAAGAAAACAAGGAAGCAACATAAGACCTCTCCCCTATTTTATGTGAGATGAGCCAGGCAGGCTGCTATGTTTTCGTGTTTCTAGTCAATGAATGAAATCAGAGTTGGGATTGACAAATGAGCTCTTTGGATACACCCCCCTTCCCTTTCTTGTTAGGGTCTCCTTGAAATCTCAGCTTGAGATAAAGTACTCCATGTAAGCTATTTTCTGCAGATTCTACTACTCAGTAGACATGTTTGCTCAAAAGTAAGTCTCTTTGTGGTTTATAGGGCTTACTCCCAGGTAAGTGGGTGCCAGATTGCAGCAACCTAGGCTTTTTTTGTGAGGAAGCGGCAGAGAAGAGCTCATGGTGAGAGGGTCCATTGTGCACACTAACCTTGAAGTAAACTCACTCGAATGCAATTGGGAATTATGCATCTAAATACACAGTAATCATGCAAAACTGGATGAAGCCTTGGAGGCATGCTAATCTACAGGTGGGAGTGAAAGGGAGAACAAAATGAATGCCTTTGGTTAAAGCAAGCAAAAATTGGTGCCCCCAAAGCAAGCACTAAATCCCCTTTTACAGCCATTTTATACCTCCAAACATAAGCCCCGAAGAAGAGCCTGCTGGATCAGGCCCATGGCCCATCTGGTCCAACATCCTGTTTTCATAGTAGCAAGCCAGATGCTTATTATGGGAAGCCCACAAGCAGAGCCCAAGTGCAAGACCAGTCTCCTTCCAACAGTTTCCAGTGACTGGTGATATTCAGAAGTGTTACTGCCTCCAACAGACTGAGCCCTGGGGCTCAGAAGCCCTTGACAGCTCTCTCCTCCATCCATCTCTCCAGTACTCTTTCCAAGACATCAGAGTTGCTGGCCATCGCTTCCTCTAGTGGGAGTGAGGATGCTCCACTTCGCCATGCTTTAAAGGCATTATTATTATTATTATTATTATTATTATTATTATTATTATTATTATTTACTTATACCCTGACCATCTGACTGGGTTGCCCCAGCCACACTGGGAAGCTTCTAACATAATATATGAAACAAAATTAAAAAAAATTCCTTCCAGTAGCACCTTAGAGACCAGCTAAGTTTGTTATTGGTATGAGCTTTTGTGTGCATGCACACTTCTTCAGATACACAAAAGCTCATACCAATAACAAACTTAGTTGGTCTCTAAGGTGCTACTGGAAGGAATTTTAAAATTTTGTTACGACTACGGCAGACCAATACGGCTACCTACCTGTAACTATAAGAACACATTCTCATTCTAATCTAGGCTACTCTGCTTCCTTAGGCATATCACAGTTCAAGGAATGGGAGCTATGACCTGACAAGTAGTTCTGCTTGCAGTAAATCTAGTCACGTTTTGAGCTGAGCTGATTTGCAAAAATGCTTTGCTTTCAGCCAGCAGCCTTGACTTTCAACTGTTTACTAGTCGTCCAGAGTGGCTGGGGAGGCCTGCCCAGGTGGGTGGGGTATAAGTAATAAATTACAGTGGTACCTCAGGTTACATACGCTTCAGGTTACATACGCTTCAGGTTACACACTCCGCTAACCCAGAAATAGTGCTTCAGGTTAAGAACTTTGCTTCAGGATGAGAACAGAAATCGTGCTCCAGTGGCGCGGCAGCAGCAGGAGGCCCCATTAGCTAAAGTGGTGCTTCAGGTTAAGAACAGTTTCCTGTTAAGTACAGACCTCCAGAACGAATTAAGTACTTAACCCGAGGTACTACTGTATTATTATTACAAATTATTATTACTTTTGCCGGTAATGCTTAAGGAATCCCAGCAAAGCTAAAATGAGTCACAGCAAATGTAACATCAGGAAGATGGACTCCAGAGCAGAAGAAATGGACCTTTAAATCTGGAGAGGGTTAACTGAAATGGAAGTTAAATCCGCTAATAGGAGGGACAGACGGTGGTATTCCTGCTGGTGTGTGGCACATGCCACAAAGTTGTCCCACCACCCACTTGTGGTCCTCATCAGCATCTAATCATAGAAATGCAGTTGGAAGGGACCCCAAGAGTCATCTAGTCCAACCCCCTGCAATGCAGGAATCTAAACTCAAGCACCTAAGAAGAGCCCTCTAGCTGGATGAGGCCGGGGGAGGGGCTCTAGCCCACCATCTTGCTCTTACAGTACCCAGCCAGAACCCTCTTCTGGGAAACCCACAAGCAGGACACAAGGGCAATAGCAGCAGTACTCTCCCCCACAGGAATCAACTCCCAGGGGCCAAGGGGTCTTTGCCCCCCCCCATAAAATATCTGAGGGGGCTAGGCCCACCCAAAGTTGATGATCTTCGCCATCAGGTCGCAAATCGGGGGGGGGGGGTGATCTAAAGCCTTGGAAGACAGTGCTGCCCTCTGCCTCCCAAGCAGAGCCCTTGCCCTCTGGAGTGCTGAAGGAAGATTTAGCTGCCACTCCAGCTGGGTTCTACATGTGGGACCTTGCTGTCTTGAAATGTTGACTGCCAAGTCACAGGTGCTCTGCTGCATCCAGTCACCCTCCATCTTTCTGTCTTGTGGCTGCCAATGTCCTCCGTCCTCTGGACACACCTTCCTTTGCACACTGCCCTCAGCTGGGTGGCCTTTGAGCAGTGCAACCTGCGTGGCGAAATGTTCATCCTGGAGAAGGGCGAGTACCCGCGATGGGACACCTGGTCCAGCAGCTGCCGCAGCGACTGCTTCCGCTCCCTGCGCCCCGTGAGAATGGTGAGTCCAGGCCTAGCCAGGGTAGTGCCTTTGGGCATCTGCTGAGGGCCCCCACTCCCTCCCAGACCTCTTCCTCCCTCGCAATCTCATTCTGCCACCTCTTGCTGTGGCCTGGGAACCTGTGGGGGTGAGGAAGAGGAGCAGTTGATGCCCCCCCTCTCTCTCGCAGCAGGAGGCCCAAGAGCAGAAGATCCTCCTCTTTGAAAGTGCCAACTTCAGGGGAAACAAGATGGAGATCCAGGAAGACGACGTGCCAACCCTCTGGGCCCACGGTTTCTGTGGGCGTCTGGGCAGCGTGAAGGTGCCCAGTGGAATGTAAGTCAGAGCCTGGATCTGACCGCTTCCCTCTGAATCAATGGGTGCCATTTCGCTTTGGGAAAGCTCCGTAGCTCGTGCAGAAGACCCCAGGTTCAATTCCTGGCAGCATCTCCAGGCAGGGCTGGGAGAGACTTCCTCTGTGGGGGGCCTCTGCCAGTCAGTGTAGGCCATACTGAGCTCGATGGACCAATGCTCTGACTTGGTCTAAGGTAGCTTCGTATATTCCTCCTGGAGAAGAAAGGGTTTGGGCTGCAGCCCCTGGCATGAACCGCAGATCCTGTCAGGGAATGGTGAGTTCCGAATGCTAAGCACTCCACTTCTTAGTGGCAAGGAAAAAACAGATATAAAAAGAATTTCCTGGGTGCCAAGATCCAGGATTGGGGCAAGTACTCTTTGGTGAGAGAACCCCAGCAGAGATTTAAAATCACAATATATGCAGTGCAAATATAGGCTGTTAGACCTTTAAAAAATACCCTTGCAAGTTCCCAAATAGCCCCCTCTTACCCCAACATAGAAAAAGACCACATACTTGGTAAGTTTAAAACAGTTTGTAAGTAAAAACAGTTTACTTACCAACTCTCCAATGGTCAGATTTATGTGCTTTTCCATATAGCATTCAGGAAAAGTTGCAGAGGCAGTAAAACTTGGTTTAGTTACAGTGGTGAAAGTTCCTAAATAATTATCGGTATAGGAATTGAGGAGTGGTGTGTAAGAGCCATGAGGTCTGAGCTTGGAGCAAGCCGCTCAGATCTCTTTACATGCTGAGCGTCTCAGGTAGACTGAGGGTGAACAATAGGCTTGATTACCTTTTCCCCAAGGTGAGGGGGAGCGACCTAGCTAAGCCTGGCAAGACAGCTTACTCTATGGCATTAACCCCTTCATGCATTAATTAGGATAAGCATGTTTGTTATATGAAGCTGGTTATCCTACATTAAAGGTAAAGGTACCCCTGCCCGTACGGGCCAGTCGTGTCCGACTCTAGGGTTGTGCGCCCATCTCATTTAAGAGGCCGGGGGCCAGCGCTGTCCGGAGACACTTCTGGGTCACGTGGCCAGTGTGACGAAGCTGCTCTGGCGAGCCAGCACCAGCGCAGCACACGGAAACGCCGTTTACCTTCCCGCTATAAAGCGGTACCTATTTATCTACTTGCACTTAAGAGTGCTTTCGAACTGCTAGGTGAGCAGAATCTGGGACCGAACGACAGGAGCTCACCCCGCCGTGGGGATTCGAACCGCCGACCATACGATCGGCAAGTCCTAGGTGCTGAGGTTTTACCCACAGCGCCACCCGCGTCCCTATCCTACATTACTGGTGTTCAAATGAGCTTTGGGTGGCGTATTTCCCTAAGGAGAGGAATCTGCCTCTGTTGCTCCCACAAAGTGGGATTTTTCCTCCCTCTCTCATCATGCTAGGACTTTGGTATCATCCAGTGAAATTGATGGGCAGGAGATTTGGGCGAGACCATGGAAATCCTTCCCACACAACATTAATTTTTGGAACTGCAAGATAAGAGGGATTGTCAATAGCTGAAGTAGCTATATAATGGGGACTTGGGAAAAGAGAAGGGGGAGTCCTTATGTCAGTTAGTCTTAGTCATCATGATGGTGAGATGGAGCCTCCATGTGCAGAGGCAGTTTATTTCTGAATATCAGTTCCTGGGTACAAGCAGGGGAGAGCTTTGGCTTCTGGGCTTCCCAGGGCATCTGGCTGGCAGTTGCAGGAAGCAGGATGTTGCCTTTTGGCCTGATTCTCTTGCAGGGCTTTCCTTGTGGGTAAAACAGCAGCACTAGCATCCCCACCACCACACAAATAGGCAGCACAAAACTAAGAAGTGGATCCTCCCAAATGCATGTTTGGGCTGAAGCTGGTTCTCTGTTTTGAAAAGTCTGAATCACAGAATCATAGAATGGTAGAGTTGGAAGGGACCCCAAGGGTCCTCTAGTCCAACCCCCTGCAAGGCAGGAATCTCATCTAAAGCATCCATGACAGACGGCCATCCAACCTCTGATTAAAAACTCCCAAGGAAGGAGAGTCCACAGCCTTCCAAAGCTCTCTGTTCTGCAGTCAGACAGTTCTTACCCTCAGAAAGTTCTTCCTGAAGACCGCAGCCTCCCATAACTGCACTGGATCCCTATGATCCGTGTTGCTTTGGGATGATTTTTTTAACCACTGGCTTTTATGAAAGCCAGGCCGCCCTACCTTGGCTGCCCTGTGGCTTTGGCTTTGGGCAGCTGAGCCCTGGGCGAGAGATAGCTGGGCACCTTCTCCTCCCTGTGTTTACTGATGTCAGCCTTCTCTTTGTTCCCCCCACAGCTGGGTGGGCTACCAGTACCCTGGCTATCGGGGTTACCAGTATCTCTTTGAGAGAGGAGACTTTGCACACTGGAATGAGTGGGCCGCCTCCCAGCCGCAGATCCAGTCCATCCGGCGCATCCGTGACATGCTGTGGGCCCCCCAAGGCTGCTTCCTTCCAGCCAGGAGCCCCTCAAACTGAGTGAGCCCCTCGGGCAGCCGGCAGAGAACCTGAGAAATTTGGTGGAGCAGGTGGAGGAGAAGACGCTGCCTCCCCCCGAGGGACCTGCTACAAGCAAGAGCAGCGCTCCCCTTTTGTGTTCACCGAACCTTCCCCTTGTACATTGCACTTTGGTGGACAAAATTTGTGTAGTTATCCAAACTAAAATATAGTCAAGAAGAGGATTAAAAATTGTGTGTGTGTGTTTCTACCATGTCCCATTGGGATTTAGCTCTGGGATTGTGATGGTTCCCCACAGGGGCGAATCTTCTATGAAACGAATGAAGCTTCAGCTTCAGAGCCCCCATCCTGGAGGGGACCCAAAAGACTGGAGTTCACTTTGCTTTAAAAATTGCTTTAAAAAGTGCATCACGCATGTACAATGGTACCTCAGGTTACACATGCTTCAGGTTATATACGCTTCAGGTTACAGACTCCGCTAACCCAGAAATAGTACCTCAGGTTAAGAACTTTGCTTCAGAACAGAAATCACGCGGTGGTGGCACGGCAGCAGCAGGAGGCCCCATTAGCTAAAGTGGTGCTTCAGGTTAAGAACAGTTTCAGGTTAAGAACGGACCTCCGGAACAAATTAAGTACGTAACCAGAGGTACCACTGTATATAACATTTCCCTGATTTTCACCCCCCATATTATTTAATTAATTAATTTATATACCATACCATTTTAATCAAAATCTGTAATGCAGTAGTAGTGTGTGTGTTAAAGCAATTTTTAAAGCAAAGTGAACTCCAGTCTTTTGGGTCCCCTCCAGGATGGGGGCTCTGAAGCTGAAGCTTCATTCGTTTCATAGAAGATTCGCCCCTGTGGGGAACCATCACAATCCCAGAGCTAAATCCCAATGGGACATGGTAGAAACACACACACACAATTTTTAATCCTCTTCTTGACTATATTTTAGTTTGGATAACTACACAAATTTTGTCCACCAAAGTGCAATGTACAAGGGAAGGTTCGGTGAACACAAAGGGAGCGCTGCTCTTGCTTGTAGCAGGTCCCTCGGGGAGGCAGCGTCTTCTCCTCCACCTGCTCCACCAAATTTCTCAGGTTCTCTGCCGGCTGCCCGAGGGGCTCACTCAGTTTGAGGGGCTCCTGGCTGGAAGGAAGCAGCCTTGGGGGGCCCACAGCATGTCACGGATGCGCCGGATGGACTGGATCTGCGGCTGGGAGGCGGCCCACTCATTCCAGTGTGCAAAGTCTCCTCTCTCAAAGAGATACTGGTAACCCGATAGCCAGGGTACTGGTAGCCCACCCAGCTGTGGGGGAACAAGAGAAGGCTGACATCAGTAAACACAGGGAGGAGAAGGTGCCCAGCTATCTCTCGCCCAGGGCTCAGCTGCCCAAAGCCAAGCCACAGGGCAGCCAAGGTAGGGCGGCCTGGCTTTCATAAAAGCCAGTGGTTAAAAAAATCATCCCAAAGCAACACGGATCATAGGGATCCAGTGCAGTTATGGGAGGCTGCGGTCTTCAGGAAGAACTTTCTGAGGGTAAGAACTGTCTGACTGCAGAACAGAGAGCTTTGGAAGGCTGTGGACTCTCCTTCCTTGGGAGTTTTTAATCAGAGGTTGGATGGCCGTCTGTCATGGATGCTTTAGATGAGATTCCTGCCTTGCAGGGGGTTGGACTAGAGGACCCTTGGGGTCCTTCCAGCTCTACCATTCTATGATTCTGTGATTCAGACTTTCAAAACAGAGAGCCAGCGTCAGCCCAAACATGCATTTGGGAGGATCCACTTCTTAGTTTTGTGCTGCCTATTTGTGTGGTGGTGGGGATGCTAGTGCTGCTGTTTTACCCACAAGGAAAGCCCTGCAAGAGAATCAGGCCAAAAGGCAACATCCTGCTTCCTGCAACTGCCAGCCAGATGCCCCTGGGAAGCCCAGAAGCCAAAGCTCTCCCCTGCTTGTATGTGTGTGTGTGTGTGTGTATGTGTAATGTCAGGAGCCCAGGTTGCCGTCTTGGTAACACAGCACACAAGTCATAATTAGCTTGAATATCAGAGCTTCCGTACCCTACAATTCAGTTGACCCTTCTGAGGAGTTCTTCCTGCTTCTACAGAATATCCTGAACCTATGGCTCTTACGTTTCTGGGTTTGTTTCCTGTCATATACCTTTCCCATATGTCTACTCCTTGGGCTCATAGGATTAATTGCCTCCTCTTCCGGTGAGGAAATGCTCCCCTGCCTTTCTGAGCCTGCCTGTGCTTCTTCAGCGAGTTGGCTTCTCTCCACCCCGCCCTCTGCTAGCCTCTTATGTGCATTCCTTTCAGTGTCAGGGGGAGTAACAGCCGACTGCTCCCAGGTGTCTGAGAGGAAGGCAAGCTTTCCTGCTGCTGGCTGCTTCCTAACTCAAGCTGTGCCTCTCTACTTGGGGCAGATGTGTTCATGACAATATATACCGTATTAAAAAGTGCTGATCTGTCGTAGAACAACCCCCTTGAAGATGATGACAGGGGTTACCCAGACCTTGCTGGTTGTGAAGGGGCTCCCATGACAGTTCAAGCTTCAGGGCCTCTACCATGTAGGTCCACCACCCGTTCCATGAGATTCCTGTGGGTGGGTGTTTATTGGGGTGCGTGGAGACGGGTAGGTTTTTTTGATGGAGAAATACCATAACTTTATCTGTGCACTTACTTTGTGTGCGTGTGTGGCTTGCAATAAAAATACAATAGCAATTAAAATTGCAAACAAATTCAATAACCAATACCTAACAAATGAGTTACAAGAAGATAAAAACACAACTGTATATCACAAATGAAAACAAGTAGTCTACAGAATTAAAATTAAAAATCAAAGTGTCGTGAATCTAGGAGCACATAAGTTCTTAAGAGCCGTGTCTGTCTCCTCCTTGTGAATGGCCAGAGGGAGGAGGGCATCCCAGTGGGGGGGGGTGCTGTCTTGGAGAAGGCCTGCTTTCGTGACAATTGTGGAAGGCCCAGCTAAGTCTCCCGGGTCTCTTTGGAAGATCTGGTGGGGTCTCTGCACCAGGGGAGGTGGTCTGCTGGGCCTTGCCCTGCTCTCACCTGCAGGCACTAGAGTCCAAGCAAAGGGCCAGGTGAGAGGCAGGATTAGAGGAGTCCCTGGTCAGGCATGGCCGAGAGAGGCCATCCTAGGCATGCAGAGTGCAGAGCTGCAACAGAGACCTTGTTCCAGCAGCTTTTCTTTTTTTCTCTCCTCCCCCCCCCTTTTTTTAAAAAAAGCCAGACAGCGCCCGCAGAGTATCGAACTGCTGTTAAGCAATTAGTGATTCTGCAAATGTAAAGTCGAAGTAACCGCTAGGCTAAGCTGGCCCATTCCAGCAGCTTTTCCAGGCCAGCTTTTCCAGCAGCTTTTCTAAGCTGGCCCATTCCACCAGCTTTTCCAACTGCAGGTGCCTGAGCTGGAGCCCAAGAAGACCTTGATTCCTGAGGAGTCCTTGCTTGAGGAGTCAAGCATTCCTCTATGTGGGCCAGGTTTGCATCAGGTGTTTAAGGTGCTGCCTGTCCAACCTCAGTGTCAGAAACCCTGGGAACTTTTAGCAGGGGAGTGCAGTGATCGTAAAGCCTTGACTAAAGACTCTCCTTCTGTCTGGAATGGTTGTCCTCTTCCATGGAACAACACACAGCTTCAGGAGAGATGCACATGGAGCGGGGAGGGAGGGGGCACCCGCCTAGCCAACCAGCCCAGCCCAATCAACCCTGGCAATCTATGGGGTGACAGATGTCACAGCCAGATCACTCTCACCTCCCAATTCACCCTGGGTGCAAAGTGGCTCCTCCTTGGGTTCATCGCAAGGTGCTGGCTCTACGCCCTCAGAGGGATGAGCCTCTGATGATGATTCCGCGGCTGAGCCATGCCAGAGATCTGGGTCTCCAGTTGTTTAGGGATTTAAATGTCCACAAACAAAGCTTGAATTTGGCTCAGGAGCTCAAAGGAAGTTTATTTTTTATTATTTCTTCTTCTTCTTCTTCTTCTTCTTCTTCTTCTTCTTCTTCTTCCCATGCAATTTCTCAATTTAAAACAATACAGAAAAGCACGGAGTGGAAAGATGCCTACAACTTGTTTGCTTTATCCCTGCCCCTTTGTTTGTGTGCAAAGGAAAGCAAGAGGGAGCACAGGAAAACGTGGAAAACAGAGTGAAACCCTGGCCAACCTCACCCAGGAGACTGGGAAGAAGACAAGGAGAACAGGCTCTGGCATGTTTTGGGGTGAAAAAGCCTCCATCTCTAGGAGCTTGAAAGATTAGTAGTATGCCCTTAGTTATTCTTTGCAGATGTTCCACATAGATGTGGAGAAATATTTCTTCGTCGTTGTTGTTGCTCTGCTGCTTTTTCAAGCTGTTTCTTTACCTGGAATGAGGCCTTTTTGACTTTTAAGCACTCTCAAGCGTTCTTGCATCTGTGGGTGTCGCCAGTGCCTGCTCTCCTCTGGCTCTTGTTCATTGCAGGGGCCTCTTGAAAAGCCCGGGGACCATAACTGATAGGGCTGTGAACTGCCCAATGGAGTCAACTCCTGGGGGCTGAGGGGTCTTTGGCCCCCATAATAAAATATTTGAGCCCCCCCCCCTTGATGGGCATTGCCATTTGAGTGCTGTGTGCACACCGCATCATGTGGTCGGTTATGCAAGGCGGGGATTACCTGAAATCTCCCCTCATCTTCACCCCCTGCAAAGATAGGGTCAGGTTCAGGCAAGCTGTGGTGATGCCCACCAGCGTAAATGGGTTCATAAGAGAAATAGACCAATCCATGGAATAGATGCTGGTGAATGGCAATCACCACAAGGCTGTGCACTCTTCGCAGTACAGGAGGCAGTCAGACCCTGAATACCAGTTGCCTTGGGGGGCCCCTCTGAAGACCACTTTTCTTCTTTGTCCAGCATTGAGATCAACGGCCTTTCACCCTCCTTCAAGGAAAAGAGAGTACAGTACCTGATCATTTAAAGTCCTTGGGGATCAGCCTGAGATGCAAACCATTTATTTATTTACTTACTTACTTACTTACTTACTTACTTATTTATGTATTTACCCTTCAGGTCAGATTGTGATGCTACAACTCAGGGCTCATCTACACTGACTTTTTGCCCTGCTCTTTCCAGCCACAAGTCTGTGTCTTAAAGCTCCGTTTCCAAGCACCCTGCTCCCTCTTTTTCTCTTGCTCCAGAGCTTTCCCTGTGAAAACCTGCTTTTTAAAGCTCAAGTGAAGCAAACAGCAATATTGGTTTTCTGCAGATTGCTATTTGTTCCAGTTCAGAGCTAAAGAGTAGGTTTTCGCTGAGAAAGGCGTGGGGCAAGGGGGAAACTGCTCTGATCCGTGCCTAGGAAGCACCAGGCAAGCCAAAAACCACTCGTACAGCTGCTTTCTAGGCCCAGCAGAAGTGTTTTTGGGCCCTTAATCCACAAACTTGTGTCTCAGCGAACAACCCAGTGAGTCTCTTTTCTCTCTCACACACAGAATCAAGGCCTCCAAGTTCAAGGGTATGCCCCCAGCTAGACTTTTAGCCTCCTGTGTCCTTTTGAAAAGAGAAATTAAACTCTGTTGGGCACAGCATACTTTCTGTTAACTCTGCGTAGCTGAAGAAGGCTTGGGACTGGAAGGGCTATGTCTGCAAGGCTGTGGGTGCCAGTGGGTCCTCTGCAGCAGCCTGAAGGCAATTCAGATGGGGCTGGGCTGGGCTGCAGCCTCCCACAGAAGCTCCCGGGTTTGACACCCACACCAAGCTACAGTCCTTCCTCATCCAAGCAAGTCACAGCTCTGGGAAGGAAAAGAGGGCTTCTGAAGCATGAACTCCCAGGCAGATGTTCCATGCAAGGAGGACCATACACACCACCTTGAGCTCCATGGAGAAAAAATATGGGGTATAAATGCAATCAATCAATCAATCAAGCAAGCAAGCAAGCAATCAAGCAATCAAGTCCTTCTAACTTTTGTGCTATCAAGGCAACACTGAGAGGGAAGGCAGAGGAAGCTGGCAGGCAGCACCTAACTTGCCCCACAGGATTGCTGTGGTGGGGATAAAACAAGGCCCAGGAGAACTTCTACAGACACCCTGCTTAGGGCTGTGCAATAAATAGTTGAAGACTGGTATTGAAATAACATGCGATAGGACTTCCGGGTCAGCGCCATTGGTGAATGGCGGAGTTCCTCCGACCGGAGGAACGGGCTCCGTGGAAACTGGGTCTTCCCGCTGCGGCGAAGGTGGGGACCCGCTAGAAATCCCAGGCGGAGGAAGCCTGGGAACGTGGGGTTCGGCAGGGCACCAGAAGCGCCCCCCCACTCGCGGGCAATCCCATCTAGGGGCTCCGGAGCGAAGTGGGGCGAGAAGCGCGGTGCTACGAACTGACTGCTACTTTCACGGAGTGAAGCCGCACAGCCATTGCCAGAGAGCGCTGACTTTTTCCTGTGGACAATTGGACTTAAAACAAGTACCCGTGAGTAGAAACGGAAAATTGGATCAAGAAATTGCTCAATTTGGTATCGAAGCGGGAAGGTGCAAACAGGAAGTCTGCCTTCCGCTTTTTGTATATAGACTAAAGCAAAAATTTTGCAAGCTAAAGCCAGGAAGCTGTCAAAAAAGACTAAATTTCCTTCATTCAGAATCACTGAAACCCCCCTTGGAAGCAGGAGAAAAGGGGGGGGGGGACTCTGTTTAACCCTAGCAGGAGAGGGAGTGAAGAAGGATAAGTTTCCACCGTCTCTAACCTGGGAACGGGGTGTCAGAGACAGAAACTGTTGGAGAGGTTCATTGACTGTGAATGGAATACTTTGACAGATAGCTAATGAAGAGAAACAAGTTGATTCTAATGTTGCCTTTTGCATTTTAAAGAAACAAAATACCTGAAAAACATCTGAAATATCTGAAAAATGAAAGTAACTTTCCTTTGTCTTTAAAAAAAAATGGCTACAAGTAGATTGTCTCCTCTAGAGGGAGCTTGCTAAATTGTTGTTGCAGCATATTTGAGACCCAACATCTGTGAGATTAAGACTGTGGGAACAGACTTTTCCGACCTTGAACAAAGATGAGCTGGGAGAAAGACTGGTTGCTTGCTCTATGCAAGACAAATGCTTTGCTAGAACAGATGCATGAAAAGATGGACTTGATGAATGAGAAAATGAATTTGACTGTTGTGGTTAATAACATCGATACAGAAATCATCCGAGAACCAACCTATCAATCTGTACCGACTGGGCAAGTGCAGTTGACAATGGAGGAGGATGTGGCTGCACCTCAAATAGTACAAATGGAGAGACCCGAGGCCCTACAGGAGCATAAGCCACTGTTATTGAAGATTGAAGCTGGAGTGGGCCAAGGGGGTCTGGAGATGAGGAGACTTCTAGCTTTGGAGAGATTCTGAAATTTGATTTTAAATTCATTTTGGATTACATCGAGGACTGTGGGGAGTGGGACTGTGGGGAATGGGTGAGCTGGATGAAGGGTGATGGAGACAATTTTGGGTTGGAATCCCCCAGAGACCTACTCCTCAATAAGAAAGGAAAGAAACTAAGACAGAGACCAACAAGAGACAAGGAAAAGGGCAAGCACAAAGAAGATGAAGAAGAATTGCAGAAGGGACATGGAAGAGATTTAAGGGCCTCGGACATAAGGCTTCCAGGTTGATGGACTAGACGGAATGGACAATAAGGACAATAAGGACTGACATGACCTGAGACCAGGAAGAAGAGACGCTGGATGATGATTGGAAGAGAATTTATAATGGAAACTTTTTTATTTTAGAATCAGCTAATGAATATTAGGGAAAATGTGGGAATGAAACTATACGACTCTAGCAGAAATGATATTAGGAGTTATGTATATTTGAAAACTAAGACTTAAGTCTTAAGGTACTTAGGGGTAAGATAAGGTTAAATAAATTAAGGTAATTTGAATAACAGAATATGGGGAAAGATGGAAAGGATTTGTTGAGTTAATTATTAGGTTAAATTGTTAAGATAAATTTTATAACGAAAATTGAGAAAGATGGAAAGAATTTGCTGAAATAATTATTAAACTAGAATACAAAAAGGGAGGTGTGAGGAGGTCAATGAAACAAGCAAATGGAAATTATGGATATGTAACTTGGGATTTGTGTTTTTTTCTTTTTTCTTCTTTTTTACTTTCTTTTGCTGTATTGTCGTATTGGTTTTTATATTTTGTGCTTTTCTCTCTCTTTTTCTTTTTTTGTATTGTAGTGTTGTTTTTTATTTTTTATTTTTCTTGTAATCCTGAAATTATCAATAAATATTATTTTTTTTAAAAAAATGAAATAACATGTGATAAGTGTTTCAACAAGGCAATACGCCAGTAAACAAAAGGAGGTGGAGAATTAATAGCTTCCCAGCTGAACAATGCTTTGCAGATACTTTGCAGGCAGTGTAAACAAAGAACTGGAAAGCTCTTCTTTCCTTCATCACACTCACACACACTGCTGGAAAAAAAAAGGAGGAAGAGTTTTTATTTTCATTTTCTGGTGGTGTTTATGTTGTTGGTTCCCCTAAGTAGCTTTCCTCCATATTAATAAGGAATGGTGGGGTTTTTTTATTTATTTAAAGACGCCTAAGTCTTTGCTTGCTTGCCCTCCCTCCCTCATAAAGGTAAAGGTAAAGGGACCCCTGACCATTAGGTCCAGTTGCGGACGACTCTGAGGTTGCGGCGCTCATCTCGCTTTATTGGCCGAGGGAGCCGGCGTACAGCTTCTGGGTCATGTGGCCAGCATGACTGGCGAACCAGAGCAGCGCCGAGAAACACTATTT